TGGTACTGGGTTTAATGTCGACCACGGATTAATAAACCTGTCCCACTAATAGGGGGTGTTTCCCTCCGAAAGTGATGCATCCCCAGAAAACCCTGGGAACCCCCCGACGACAATAGGACAAACTGTTGAATCCGGGGTTGACATTAGGGTATGTGTACCCTCCAGCCAAAACCATGCTGGTATCGTAGATGGCTTTGGATGTTCTAGCGAGCATCTGATCCTCAAATTGGTTTGGCCCGTGAAATCAACTCGTTTTATCCACCCCAATCTTTGCGAGCGCCCGTTGGTGCCCTGGTTTTCCGGGTCATTCCTTTCGCGACGCCCACGCAGGTCTGACAAACATCTCTATCGCCAAGTGGAAGCTTGCCAATTGGGACCCTGACAGTGGGCTGTTTCAAGGGCGAGGAATTGGTTCGGGTTTTTCTGGCCTGTGTAGAAACTTGGGGAAACACCTGGCGAACGAATCTCCGGGATCGATCCACCGCATAAACTCCGCTTCGCGGAAAAAAAAACCAGAGGAAACAACATGGCCTCATGCGCTCCCATGCGCCGGAGGAAGCTGACTTCCGGAAAGGAACGTTAAAATACTTCCGAGAAAAGACGCCGATAAACAGTTTAAGGCGGTTGGAAATGCCCACGACTGGAGCGAGAGATGCCTCTTGATGCAACACATTCAGAGGCCTCTCGAACCTCCATTTGCATTCGTCTACCAAAGCAACACATATGTCCGGTGAAATCGATTCCCTTTGGAAACCAACAGCGGAACATAAACAAATCTGAAAGGCCAAATCTGAAACGCAAATGGAAGCTTGGTTTTAAACTTGGAAAACACTGGGATAGTCACCCCAAGCCAGAACTAGAGCGCGCTGGGCTCGATGGGCAAGACATCCTCAACGGTGCTGCCTTGCCCTTTTTCCGCAGCCAAATGCTACTCGCCACACAACAAATTGTGGAGCCGTTTTGTTTCGCCATCGCCGCGGAAGGGCCACCCAAACAAAATCAGATTGGAAACGCGCCACGGGAAATCACCTTGTGATACAAACGTATCATTCCCATCATGAGTGCTCCAACCGCCACCCACCCACCCCCCCCCCCCGGAAAAGGTTGTGAGACCTTTATGTTTTAATAGCCGGGTCCAGCTAAGTTAGGTAAACGCAGATATAGGCCTCGAAGTGAGACTAACCATGTTAGGGGGGCTAACCATTTGCCAACTTGGCCGAGCCACAACATGATGTTTCCAACAGCTCCAAGAGGCTAAGGTCACTCAGAAAGACCAGCCAAGAGCTGGGGATTCTTTTGGTATGACAAGTTTGTCTATGTCCCAGGATGTACCGCGCAAATGGTTTGGTTGGGAGCATGACTGAAAGGGCACAAGGGGGCAAAATCATCGCACACTTGCTTTGGATCATGACTTGATGTTGTTTTAGATTTCCAGCCGCGTCCCTTTCTGTGCAAATCCTTCTCTTCAAACCGGCAAAGTAATATGGGGAATCAACCCTTCTGGTTTATCTTTGCCGGCTTCCCAAGGGCTGAAGACGTTGGCTTGCCGTCTATGGTTCCACCATTTTGGTTTTACGGCAGACCACTATGCGTGATTGCTCACCGTCACTCCAAAGGAACCGGGTATCCCTAAAAATGATCACAAAACCGGTATCATAACTCAACCACCAAAAAAAACAAATAGCCCCAAGAAAAACCAACAACAGTGATAGGGATTGCGTTGCCAGCTCGGGCTTGATTCATTGATTCCCACTAAGCCTTTGGTGCAATAGCTCTCCCCCAGCTGCGCCTTGTTTCCGAAAGCCTCATTTGAGTTGTGACTCATGGTACTAAAACCGATTTTCCGAAAGCCTCATTTGAGTCACTGGTACTAAAATGGTCTACCCAGATTTTTCAAAAGACCTTAAACCGCAACGATTTCCCGATCTCTGGCGACTGCTCCTGACTAAACTTCAGTCCCAGAAAGAAACGGCATTTGATCACCTCTTCTGTTTGCGGACACGCCGTTTGTGGGGAAAAATGAGAAAACCAGCACTTCCAGTGCCAGAATTTCCTTAAAATTAACAGGGGTCAATGCAACATACCCCCGTAACCTCCAAATACCCGGCCTTTTTTCAGGGTATGATGTCGGCCCTCTAAAAGAGGAGGTTAAACCCAACAGGGGACAATGCAATGCTTGAGCCAATGGAAGTTTCGGGGCCATGCCGAACTTGGTCTTGCCGAAACGGGAAACGCAAACGGTCAGATCCAGTCGATTCGCTCGTGAAGGGGAGGCTGGGCACGCGAAACTTCCCGAAAAAAACAACAAACACATGGTTCGAACCGTGTTGCCCCAGTTGTGCAGTGACCCTGGAAAAAAAGAGGGAGCCCTTTTGTGGGAAGATCATCTTTAGCGGGGCCACCAAAAAGGCAAAATCATTGGTGCCACTGAAGAACTGACTTTCTCACTTCCTGGTTTCTTATGCCACTTTGCAGCGACATTTTTTGATCCGGGTGACCTCGATTCGCCCGCGAGGAACTGAATTCGCTCGGTGGGGGATGCGTGGCGCAACCCGCCAATTGGTCCATGGCAAAAGATGTTCACTTTTTCTTGGTCGGTTTCTTTTAAAGGGAACCCCCCGATCCCCAAAAAAGGACACAACATAAAACCACAGGTCTTCGGTGGGATCGATCATTGTTCAAAAGTAAAGTCTAAAGGCTCAACCAACCATGCTCTGATTCAGTTTCATTCATACTCAACACAGCAACCGCCACACCTCGTAGTTGAATTTCAATATGGCCGTACGGTTACGAGCCATCAAGCGCCTTTCTGCCCTGCAAACCAACCCGAAAGTCAACATGAAATGGGAGAATGTCCCAATGGTGCGCTAGGGGGTGGGCTGACTACCGGCAGTTCTATGGGCAACGAGGAATTACTTGCCACGGAAAAACAAAAAACAAAAAAAAACACCTGTTGCAACACATAGCAACCAAAAGAGGTACTTGGAGTTTTTGGGGTAGGAAGACCAGCCAGCATCATAGTCCCTTTAGTTTCATGTTGTTTCTCGCGCTGTAAAACATGGGTTTCACCCGCTCGGTTGAACCAGCATCAGTGGAGGTACTATAGCATGGGCAAACTAAGCTTTGTCCTCTGTTTGCGATGTCCTATGGAACAACCATCACACGTCCAGTAGTGATAGGTTCCCTTGAACACCAATAGTTTCTTGTACTTAAAATAAACAAACAAACAAATGCTTCAGCAAGTCTAGTTCCTCCAGTACAGAGGTTAGAATAAGGGTACCCTTTTTCTGTAGTCTATTTTAGTAGGGGAGAAAGGGCACTACCGGGGGACCTAGAAGTGGAAGTCTGAGCACACAGACCTCGGAGAGTGAAGGGGTCCAAGGCTTTTTTTTGCACTTTGTTGGTGAGGGCCTCAATTTGATTTTATTTCGCCTGACGCAGAATCTAAAATATATAGGGTTGATTCCTTTTCCATTCTTTTCAACCATTGTTTTTTTCAAAAACCGGATCCGTTTCCAACCTGGGTTTTGATGGTTTCCTGAAAAGAAGGATCCCTGAAAGAATGGAAAAGGAAGGTGCCCCGAGAAAAAGAGAAACTTCTCTCCCAGAAAGCCTCCTCGGAAGGTAGCCAACAAGTTTTTTGTTTTCTGTAGGCCCCGCCCCAAAATTTCAAGAGAACCAACCAAGGCGAATGTGAATTCCAAGAACCGCGTCTGTGCATTCTTCCAGATCTGCGAAAAGTGACAACTTTTAGTTTAGCAAACACTCCCACTAAACCAAAGAACCTAAACACCTTATACAAAAAAAAGAGAGCGATGGCTGGGAACCAAGAAACTTGGGACCAAACAACAAGTACAATCCTTCCACAAGAGACCCAAAAAAGAAGGGGAAGGGTTCCTCTTGCCACAATGCCATGGCTTGCCAGGCTGCCCCCCTGGTACATGGAAACCTGAAACCTGCAGCTTTTTCCAGCGGATTAATTTTGACCCATAGCCACATACCCATTTCTTTATTCTAGGTCCGACAAGGGCAAGTCAGTACTTTTTTTACCAGGACCGTTTCGCCCTTTTTCCGGGCCAAAAAAAGGGGGGGTCCCTGTATATATGTACCAGTCCCTGGGCCACGTACCCCCCCCCCCCCCCCAATGGTATGGTCCCCCCACTCCCCCGCATCATCCGCATCTTGGGGATGATGCTGGCAATGCTGGGGATGCTGTCCAGTACCGTGCGAGCCCTGCAGCTTCGGTCCCAGACCCCCTTTCACCCCGTGAACCAACACCCCCGCACCTCTCGCAACATCCTACCCTAAACCAACCACCCTGCAACCCCTCCTTAACCCCAACCCTAAGCCTAAATCAACCCAAACCCCAAACCCACCCGAAACCCACCGCAAACCAACCCTGAACCAACCCTGAACCAACCCTAAACCAACCCACCAAGCCTCAACCAACTCCGAACCACACCCCAACCACCCCACCACCCCACCCCCCCCCCCCCCCCCCCCCCCCCACCCCACCCCACCACCCCCCCCCCCCCCCCCCCCCCCCCCCCCCCCCCCCACCCCCCCCCCCCCCCCCCCCCCCCCCCCCCCCCCCCCCCCCCCCCCCCCCCCCCCCCCCCCCCCGGGGGGGGGGGGGTCCACGGCCTGGAACATATATACTCCAACTTCTGTTTTGGGTTTCCAGAAGGAAAAAAAAACTGAGCAACCCAAAAAAACTTGAAACACCTAAGATCTCCCAGGTCCTCCAGATTTGAGAGGTTAGAATGAATAAAGGGTACCAACTTTTTTCTGTAGTCTATTTTAGTAGAGGAACCCTCCCCAAAAAAAGTTGGTGAGAAAGGGCACTACTGGGGGACCTAGCAGTGGCAGAGAGGTGCAGCAAAAAAAACAATTGAAACCTAACTTGGTTGCTTCTGCCCCCTCTGCAAAAAGTTTAACTTTTTGGGGGTTTAGTGGAAACCCTTGATTTCAACCGAAACGTTAAAGTCTAAAGATGCGTTGCCCAATAGCAGTCAAGCTAAGACCTTTGAAGGGTTGCGGTTCCAGGCACCGAGCTCGACTACGCCTTCGGCATCAGAAAGGGAATCGGCACCGGCTGCGGGCGCTTCGCCCGAGCGGCGACGAGATCGAAGTGCGAAGTGCCGGAAGGCTGCACCTGGCGAATTCGCAACGAGACGGCTGCCCCCGTAACCCACCCGCAATACCCAATGGAGAACCCGCTTGATTTCCCAAGGAAAACCTCTTGGTTTAAGTCTGGGTGAAAACGTGGAACCCTTGGCATTTCGACCCCTCGCCTTCAGCGGTTGGGGATAGTTTTCATGTCTTGTGCGCCAAGCTGGAAAAAACAAAAACCACCGGATCCGACCGGAGAAATGCTCGCGAAAAGAAACGCATCCGGAGTCAGAACCAAAACCCGGTGGTGGTCTACCCAGAACCGTGTAAACTTACGAAGCTTACGAAGCTTGCTAACCTTTTACCCGGGTAGCCGGGCTTGGATTGAAACAAAAAGCTTGAGCGCCTGCCGGGCACGGTTGGCAGAGCCCAAGACGGGGGCGGACTCCGTCCTCGCACAAATCAGATGGCGACTCTTCGTTCTGCCAATATGGGTGCGCCTTTTTGTTGGAGTTGGTACCCCTTGGGGGTTCACCTAAACACAAAAGACATAAAGTTACCACGAAATAATATGCATTAGAGACATAGCCACCACAAGACTCACTAAGTTAGGCCCGGGGCTGGGGAACTCCCCTAGTCCTCCCTAAGACTTTCATGCAAGCAAAAGGGGCACCAAATCCTTCTGGTCGTTTGCTTCAAGGAAAGCCCCTCCAGAAGAGGGACAGTTTGAGCTCAGATGCCCAGTGGATTTCCATGAGAACAAAAAGGATGCATCCTGGTTTGCTTGGTTGAGTTTAACAGGGAATGGCCATAGAAACCTACAAAAACATCTACAGGACATTTGCTAACTATCCGCCACATCCAAAGTCCTCCAGATTTGAGAGGTTAGAATAAGTTGGTACCCTCTTTTTTTTATCTCCCCCCAAAAAAAGAAAGGGTTCTCAGGGCTCCTAGGGGTCCTAGACCAGGCTTCGCCGGTATTTCTTATTTTCACTGTAGCCGGTTTCCTGGAGTTACACCATGCAACTCCCGGCCCGGCGGAAGTCCACAGGCTAAAGGAACCCACGTCTCTTGGGGAAGCTGAAAACACCTTGGTAAGAAACTTACCCCTTTAAACTCCCAACTTCCTGGGGAAGTTCTCATCTCTTACAGACATATAGCCCATGTTACCCCCAGAAAGTTGAAAAGTTGTGTTTTTAAGTGGTAAGAGCTTGGTAAGGAAAGGAAACTGCATAAACCAGGTCTTGGAAGATAAGACTTCTCTTGAAAAAAAGTCGCGGCTGCGAACTTCTATGACCGTGTCTTGTGTTTCGGCCGGCGGGCTTCCCTTGAAAAACACAAAGGAAGCTGACTGATAGGATCCCTTGATCCGAGGCCAGGGGGAAACATCCGAAATGTGGACATGTGCCCAACCCCCTACTCCAAAATACCCGATACTTTTGCAGGGGATATATGTATACATATATATATATATATGTACATACACACATGTAACTGCCTCCTGTTTTAGCAGAGGGTTGACGTCGTGCCGTACAAAAGAAAGACAAACAACTCACACGGAGATTTGGATGCCTAGACCCACAAGCTTCCCCTAAAGAGTCACAACCGCCACTAGGTCTTCCAGATTTTCAGATTTGAGAGGTTAGAAGAAGGTGGTACCCTTTTTTTGCAGTCTGTTTTAGTACGGGAACCAAATCGCCCCCAAAAAAGAAACGGTGAGAGGTCGGGCACTACTGGGGGACCTTGGGCCAACAATGCTTGGCGACTTCAATCGTTGGGTTGGATCTTGGGTCTGGCCGTTTCAAGCAACTTATCGCGCAAACATCAACACTTTCGGAGTTTCTATGCCCAAACGGATCCGACCCGAAAGTTTTTCGCCTTTCAGGTGAAATGATGGACACAAGGCCGAAACATGAGAATGGTAAGCCTTTGGTCTGGCAACGTGAACCCGGGAGGTCTCACAGAAACTTTCTGTACGCACGGTTTTGAGCAAACCGCTAGTCGCTGTCTAGTTCTATTGGTTTACCTTTCCAACCCTTGGTATGGGAGCAAAACACTTGGGCAGTATTTTTTTGGGGAAGGCAATGCTGATGACCATGCGGCGCAGCCTACGCGAGGTGTACGTCAGCCTTAAAACGCTTGCGCGCCTACGTGGTTGGAGCTTCGCTCTCAAAGTGCCTACGCGGTGCGCGTTTCGTGCTGAAACTCGCCCGCGTGAGCTGACGATGACAGCATGCTGACTGGCACAAGCACAGTTTTCTCAGCAGCAAGCTTCTTTTCAGCGCGAGCTGGACGAGCTATCAGAGGACGAACTGCTACTAGAAGAAGAAACGCGGGCAATTGCTTTTTGCATAGCCTCGTTGTGTCGGCGCTTTTTCGCCGCAGACTTTCTGAGCCGGGCGGCAGCACGGGCAAGCAGAGAACGAGCGTCATCAGCATGCAGCGTTGCCGGCGCTGGGAAACTTTTCTTCGCCACGTGCCTTCGCACGATTCTGGGAAGGCGGCATGAGATAGTGAACAGATTTGGCTTTCGAGCAAAAGCTGAAGTGTGCGTTGCACGCGGGCAGCCGAAGCTGTGGCAGCGCACAGGGCATGCAAAAGGAAGAGCATCCTCCGGAGCCAGGTGGCTCTGCGCAAGTAGGCGGAAGCACTCGAAGCAGGACGAGCCACGAAATCGGGCTACTGCCTACGCGAGGGCCTACGCGGGGCCTACGCGGAAACCGGCTGCGTGCTCAAGAAAAAGCGCCGAAAGCAAGACGGGGCTAACCAACCTACATACCTGGAAATCATCATCCCTTTCAAACAAGTAGAAACAACAAAAACAAGTAGGCAAAAGGCTTGTAACCCTGCAACCTAGAAAGCGAGGCCGGAATCTGCCCTTCTTTCTGCACATTCCCATTGCTTGTTTCTTTCTTGCAACGGGCAAACTGTCAAGTCGAGCCTCCGCGGTGCCTACGCGAGAAGCTCCCCAGCCAACTGTCAAAAAGTGGCTACACGCGCCTACGCGGTGCAGTAAAATGCCTACGCTGGGCCTGATATTTACTACCATAAAGAAAACTCGGCTCACTTGGTTGTTCGCAGTCTACCAAAAATGAACAGAACAAACAAAAAACATGAAGGTGTACGCACGGTGTTTGCTTCAAGCTCCTTTACCTCAACCTCCGGGCTTCCCAAGAACTGTGAACTTGGGCCCGACCTCGACCCAAAAACACTACCCCAATGAAACGGATATCGCACAACTCAAATTCTGGTTGCCCAGAGGCTGCTGGGGCGTTCAATGGAAGACCCGACCCCTCCATTAGACACACCCGGAGCTAGTTGGGGGTCTCAAAACCAGGTTGTTCGAAGGCCCTACATCAATCGAATTGGAGCCTCTGGGTGGTGATTCTTGCACTAGTTTTCAAGGGAACCCTTCCCCAAAAATGGACAAAAGGGCACCACTGGGCAATTGGGATTCTTCCACTATTTTTCTGGGTCACTTCTTCGGGTCGGTTTTTTTTGTTGGACCCCCCGTTCTGCAGCTGCTCCTCGTTAAAGACTCATCCTGCGCGAGTGGCATTTCTTTCACCCGGGAGCTGCAAGTTTCACCCCGGGAGCTGCAAAAACTGCACCCGCGGAGTAGACGCCAAATAGTTTATGGGGGCAATTACCCATTTTTTCCAGGGTATCACATACCAATGGCCATGCTTTTTGGCTTTATGATACGTTTGCGGGGCCATGGCCTTTTTATTTTTTGTGGGCACCCCCTACTCCAAAAAAGTCACTTGTTTTAGGGTGTTATCTCAACTAGAAAAGGATCGTTACTTGCCATGGTTTCAACCAATCGGGTGTTTGGAGGAGTGTCCCCTAAAGAAAGGGATCCTGCCCCAACAGTATGGGCCTTGAATTGCGACACTTGCCCATCTCTCATGTTGGAACAGTTCAACTGCCCATCCAACAAAAAAAGGAAGGCAGTCAAATGACAGCAGTCTTCCAAGAGTGTTTTGGGGGGAGAGTACCCATCGCCGCGTCCTTTGTGGAAACATGGAACGGTTTGGCATGGGGCTTGATTCGCCCTACATCCCAGGGGAAGATAAGCCTTGCCCATACTCCTAAGTACCTGACACAGGTATCAACAAGGATGTTCGAAGTATACCCAAAAAAGAGCGGGCATTGAGTGGGGGGAAGGCTAACACCCCCAGCCAAATAATTTGCTCTCAATGCCGTCGATGCGTTTCATCCAGGGGTATTTGAAGCTAAACAAGTTGCCTCTCACTCGCTTCTTTTTTGGGTCCCTAAGACATCTTTGCGAGCTCGAACTGAGTAGGCAACCTAAGACCCCATGCGTTGTTTGGAGGTTGGCCGAAAAAAACAAAACCACAAAAACCGAACTTTTCCCAGCTCTGCCCCGAAATTCCCCCCTCGTGCGTGCTCACAGCTTCCACCTCGAAGAACTTCCTGGTGGGCCCAAGGAAACTGAAGCCCTACGCCCCGCTGGGTTTCCTTCGAATGGCAGGGGGTACATCCGTGGAACGAACCAGCGGGAACGGATACGGAGAGCGGGGAGGGGGGGGGGATGCTTTTGGCGCCAGTTCCCATCAGCTTGGTCAAGGTGCATGGGGGAATCCTCAACCGTATGCAACTGGTTCTTTCTGTATCCCTGTTGGTGTCCAATGGACGAAACTGTTTTGGCTAGGTCCTCCGGTAGGGAGGTTTGAATTAAGGGTACCCTTTTTCTGTAGTCTATTTTAGTAGGGGAACCACATCTCCCCCAAAAAAGAAACGGTAAAAGGGCACTACCGGGGGACCTAGTTGGTATTTGTTTTCCAAGGGACCCTCACGCCAAAGCACGCCAACTGCTCTGGGGCCGGCCTCTTCAGTTGGTGTCCGGTGTCCGGTCTTCGGAGCTTTGAAGGTGTCATTTTGGAGAACCCCACAGATGGCGGTAAACACAGACCCGTAAACAGATGCCACCACCCCCTCCCCCTTCCCCCCCGCCCCCCAAAAAAAACAAAGAGACAAAAGCACACACATGGTGATACGAATTCGAACCAGAAAGGCTTTCTTCGGAAAAAGAACCCTAACCCTCACCCTAACCCCCTGACCCCAGTCCAAGCCCACGAGTTAGCACCTTGGCCATGAATTCTCATAGGGAACCACCTCAAAAGTGGTTGCTGGACATGAATCCCCACCGAACTTTGATGTCCACAGGGTGCCCAAGTAAAATTCAGGCCCACTTTGGTCTTGGCTTAAGGCCTTCGACATCATGGGCATGTTTTTTCTTTGAAACCTAAACCCTAGGGTTCAACCCCCAGTAAAACAGAGGTTGACCCAATCTGGAAGAAGACAATCCTTAGGTAAACAATGGTGGTTTCATGAACCCCCATTGTTTCAATGGTGGTTTGAACCCCAGGGTAAACTAAAAACCCAAAGGATTGAAAAGGTCGACTTGTTTTGGGCTCATTGCTCTCATTGAAGCATCCCCACGCGAACGCCGAACGCCTCCCATTCCTCCCCCTCCCCGCGGTCCAGAGGTTGGTTCAATCGCCGAGCTTGCAATCGCTTGCCAATGTCACTGGCAGCCACTTGGCAGCGCCACTGCAGGGGCGAGCGTTTCACCTCCTGGTCGCTTAGTGCCGAAAAGGGGGGAATGCCCCCCCAACTTTGGTGTGGCATTTTTGAGACACCTGCCCCGTCAGTGTTCCATGAAAAAATACCGCCTCCTTTTCTTGGTAAAGGGTGCGGGTGGTTGAAACAGGTACAGGTAGTCAACTCCTTCTTGACTTAAACTTCCGCATGTTCTTCAGAAACTGCCGGACACTCAGGGGAAGCGGCAAATGAACGGTGGACATGTATCCAGTCTGAAATATTAGGATCCCGCTTGTGATTGGTTTGACAGGGACAAAAACAAAACATGTTGGGGGTACCCCCCTTTTCAGACACGCCAGAGACGGGATTCCAGCTTTTTGCTTTTTACTGTGGATGAACTCAATAAATACCAATGAATGTTACGGTTTCAATCATGGTTTCCAACTTGTGCGAAATTATGTTTTGGCCATCTACAGTACTTTCATCTCTCGCATGTGGTTTTTCTACAGGGGCCCGCACCAACTTTTCAGGGTTCGTAGCTGGGCTCAGCATGCACGGGAACAAAAAGCAAAGAGAAACCCCCCTCCTCAAGAACAACCACGAAAGGGCTCGGTCCAATTCGGCTTGTTTAACTCAGATGCCCAGTGGCCATGGGAAACAGGGGACCCCTTCCCCCAAAAAAAAGAGGGAAAAAGGGCGGAATCCACTAGGCAAGCGGGTTAAGGAGAAGGGTCCTTGCTAAGCAATTTGGCCCAAGTGTCATCCAGGATCAGTCAGTGACAGCGTGGGCTAAAATACCCTACACCCAATACCCACTTTTTTCAGGGTATCATGTCGACCCTCTACTAAAAAAGGGATCGGTATTTACCTTGGAAAACCGTTTTCGGTTTTCCAAAAAAAACCGACTGAACAAAGCATTGGTATTTGGTGTAGGGGACCCTGAACATGGCGGGTCCTTTTGCTTCCCCCCTTTGAAATCAAAGTGAGTGAAGGGTGACCCGCAAAACCAACACATCCATACAACCCCTACTCCAGATACATGTTAAAAGGCTAGAAAGTCACCCCTTGACAAAGGAGAAGGAGGTAGTTAGCCTGGTTGAAAACTAGTGTTTTTTTTTAGCGAAACCCGCTGCCACTTGCTACATAAAGGTCTGGAAATAAGCAAAAGACCCATCCCCCTTTGGTTTGCCCCATTCTTCTTTTGAGCATTTACCATGGTTGAAACACCACTAACTCTTCAAAAGTACACCCTTTAAGCAAATGGGAATTTGGGCGTCCCCCAAAATAGTTGTTTGCTAGATAGACCCAGTTGGAGCTTCCCGGCGAACAACAGTTGTTGCCTGATGCCTGTTTCGCCAACGATCCATGCTTTCCCCCTACACCAAATACACACCTTTTTCAGGGCACTTTTGCGAAAACCGAAAAAGGTTTTCCAAGGTAAATACCAGACTACCCTGAAAACGCCCACACTCAACGCTTTGGTTTTCCCGTTTTACAGTAGAGGGTCGACATAGCAACTGAAAAGAGCTGGGTATTCCCCCTGCACCCAATACCCATTTTTTTCAGGGTATGATGTCGACCCTCTACTAAAAACGGGATCGGATCTTTACCACGGACAACCTCTTTCGGTTTTCCCCCCAAAAACAAAAACCGACTGAAACAAAAAGCGGCTGGGTCTTTGGAGCTTTCGGGTTGGCTTGGCTTTCGGGTAACATCGGGCCTCGAGGAAGGCGTTCATAGACTTCACGTGTCGCTCGTGCAGCAGGCGGTTGGGATACACGCCGCGCCCCACTTTCGGCAACGCCCTCGGCGCGGCGCGGCTCTGGCGCCCCAAAACGCTTCTCGACGGAGCCCCGACTCACTTTCTCAGTTGGTATGATTGGTATTGGGAAAACCGAAAAAGGTTTTGCATGGTAAGTACCGATCCCTTTTTTTGTAGAGGGTCGACATGATATTCTGAAAACAGATGGTATTTTGAGGGGGATATTCGGATACTTTTCGGGGCGGGGGTTGAAGAACCAGGTTCTCGATTACCTAAGCTCAATACATCCCAATGCCCGGCTTTTTTCGCATGATGGGGTGTGGTGTGACAACCGGACAAAAGAAGGCTTGGTAGGTTCCTGGATTTCAGCCTCGTGCTTGAACTACGCAGGGCACGTCCCATCGAGCGGATTGGGCAAGCAAAGTCTGAACGTCTTGTCCTGGTCTAAACCCAACAAATAGCGTTGATGTTTATTTCCCTTCAACCAGGTTGAAATTAGTCTAGGTCCTCCAGTAGAGAGGTTAGAATCAGGGTACCCGATCTTTTTTCTGTAGCCTATTTTAGTAAGAACCAAATCTCCCCCAAAAAAGAAACGGTGAGAGGTCCACCCATTGCTGGGGGACCTAGTAGTCAAGCTTCCGACCCTTCCGCATTGGAATGCCAAGAGGTCCCTTCGGACTCCAAGCGACATGGCTTTCATCGTTTGCTTCCTGAACCCTCGGCGCCTGGTTTACAAGGATTGCTTCCACGACTATTGCTGCAGAAAGGAAGGTCAGTTTAAGTAAATAAGGAAAGAGCCCCGCTACTCCAAATATTTTAAGTGTAGTTTTACCCCCCCCCTTTTAAGTGTATTTTTGGTAGCGTAAGAAGGGCATTAAGCTTTTTTAGTGTATTTTTTTTTAAAGGAAAACCTGGTTTTCCAGACCTGCTTTTCAGTGCGTAGAAGGTTGACATGCTCCCCCCAAAACCATAGGTTGGCACTTGCCTAACTCGGGCCACCCTTCCGTGGAGCTTCCCCAAACTTTCCGCAAAATCCGAACTCCGGCGGCGGTTTTGGTGCTCTTGGCTTGCTGTTGGCAGCTGCCCTCCTAGTATCCCCTACTCCAAATGCACAGGTTTTTGATTGGGGGTCTCACGTCCACCTCTGATTAAGAAAGGAGGTGTTTACCCTGAAAAGCCAGGCTCTTCAACAAATACCCTAAAGAACAGCGGGTATTTGGAGGTTGCGGGGGTATGCAGCAACACCGATCTGCTTCATCGTTTTCCGCTGTCTTTTCCGTGCAAACTGCAACAGTTCGAACCACATAGCTTTCTGCGCGTGCCAGAGCACGCTTTCAAGAATGCGATTCTCCCTACCCTCTACTCCAAATACCTGTTTTTAAAAGGAGGTATTTACCGTGGAAAATTGTATTTGGAGGTTGCGGGGGTACTACTTTCGCTTGCGGGCACACCTCCGCTCAATTGCCGGAAGCTCAGGGACTGATAAACCAAACCGAGCGGGCTTTCCTCGATCTTTTCTCAACCGGGAATCATTCGAACCCATGTTGGACTGTGCCCTCCCCTTTTTTTGGATTGCGAGGGACTCATATCGAACTGTAACTAGGTCCTCCAGTAGAGGGTATAAGGGTACCTTTTAGTAGTGGAATCCTCCCTCCAAACAAGTTGGTAAAAGGGCACTACTGGGGGCCCTAGGTAACCCAAAGTTCATCCAGGATTCTCCAACCGGGCTTGCAGGCTCCGGAGCTTCTATTCCACGAACTTGTAAAGAAAAAAAACAACAAGAGAACATAACACAGATTCTTTTCAGCAAATGGAAGTTAGTCGACCATATCTAACATGCCCCCCTCCGAAAACCATTTGTTTGAGAAATATCAACCCTTCACGATAAAAAGCGGTACTTATCAGTGACCAGTGAGTCAGTTGCATCATAATGTTAACCCCCGATTCATCAACCCCTGTTTATTAATAACTGGATCTTCCAAAGTGACAATTGTTCATGCCTTTTTGTAAAAAGCTGCTTTGTCAATAACAAACAACACCTTTTTTGTGTCTCCAGGCACTTCACTTTGTTGCTCTTCTGCGACAAATCCATGAAGGCGAAACGGCGACAATACCCGACCAAACGGCGACAATACCCGACCAAACGACGAATTTCCCCGTCCATGTTACCAGCCAAATTTGAAACGACGTGTTTGCAGTGATAAAAAAAAAAAAAAATAAAAAAAAAAAAACACGTATTCCCGACCTCGGGACTAAAATCTGTGATTTTTCAGCAAACGACGTGACGAACGGCAGACTTGAAGATTCAGGTATGTTGGTGTTCCCCTCCCAAAGTGAGAAAAATCCCACACTAAAAAAACAGGGAAACGCACCCCCCCCATATTAACGAACTGTTTGTTTCTTGTTTGAACAAAAAATATGGGGTCAACCTTCGTTCGCCCAAGTCCAAGAACCAAAATGCATCGGAACCCCTTGAGTCCGAGGCCCGGGGCCTCTCTCGACTCGAGGTTGAAGAAAAACATCCAAGATGAGACCAGGAAAATCACCCAACTCTTCATGCTCCTGCTAAGTAGTTGTCTTTTTGGGGCGGAGAGAAAAAAACAACACCTAAACTTGGGGGACCAGGGAAATCACCCAACGAATATATTCAAGAAGAACAAATCTCTTCAGAAGCTCTCGTTAAATAGTCTTGGTTGAAACACAAAAACAAACAACAACATGTTGGGGGGCGGCGGAGGAGGGGCGAAAAAAAAGAAGCTAGCCATCAAATCGCTTGAGGCCCACAGCTCCCCCCGCCATTTTTTTGAGCCGAGGGTCCAGGACTCAAAGGAATCCAGGGACTCCACGTCCGAGTCTTCGGAGCCTTCTTCTTCCAGCCTCTGACCCGACCCCCTGACCCGCCTCCAACACTCCAACCGAGCGCCTTCAAAGTGGACGGCCCAACGAAAAGGCAACCATTTTTTTGTTGTTGTTTTTTGAGCGATTTAACCCTAAAACAGTCACCAAACTGGTCTATCTACCTCTAAAACAGTCTTCAAGGCAACCAGTTGGTTCTTTTTGCCACTAAAACAGTCTTCCCCGTTAATTGAAAGTTAATTGAAATTAGCAAACCGAAGAGAGAAACAACAAGGCCACTGCCTCCAAAGACTTGCTTTCTTGAGGGTAACTAGCTTGAAGAACCGGTCAGTTTTTCAGGGTAATCTAGGACACGGCTTAGGTGCGATTTTTGTGGATCCACCCCTGCAGGAAATTAAAAGAGTGCTAAAAGAGTGCCAAAACAGACCCTACAGGAGGGAGAACAGGTGAAATCCACACAAAGCGCATCCAACCCGTTTTCTGGCAAACAAATCTCACCCCCAGAATCCCTCCCTTAAAAGCTGGCCCCAAACCGCCCCGCCGAGCCGATCTTGGCAGAGACCAAATCCATGGTCCAAAAAAGCGGGGCCAAACCACCCTGTTGGGAAAGTGAGTTCTTCTACTAAAACGGGATACCAGAAAGAGGGAAAAATGAGCCTGTGTTCGCTCGTGGGGTCGATTGCTTTACAACCCAACCCCTGCTCATTTGCTCGCTTTCCCAGATCGCAAGACAGGGAATCACCACGTCAGTCACTTGAAAACCAAAAGGTCAAAAGGTCGATTCGCTTTGGACAACTGAGCTTAAGCTTGGTTCTCAGGGCATTCTCGGCTCTTTCCCAAGAAAGGAAATACTCATGTTCTCGGTTGACAACCCTGACAAGACCAGCCAGCTCATCCTTCTGGTGCTACCTTTTCACACTTTTGACGCTTGGGGACGATCCCTTAACCTCCTACTCCAAATACCAACGCTTTTTTCAGTTGGTATTCTTGGAAAAACCGATAGGTTTTCCATGGTAAGTACCGATCCCTTTTTTAGTAGAGGGTCGACATGATATTCTGAGAAAAAGGTATTTGAAGTCGGGGGAATATTTATCTACCCACTCCAAACCACCCGCCACGAATTCTTTGCCAGCGACTCAAGTATCTTGGGACCAAACATTTGGCCGTGCGGAACACTCCAAAACCCAGAAACGGATCCGGCTTTGGAAAAGAAGGATGGTTGAAAAGAATGGTTGGAATCAACCGCTAGAAGTATAGTCTTACAACACCCGCCAAGGGAGGTGACACATCTCTGGTTTGGATCGGGGTCGACATGATACCCCAAAAAATTGGCCGAGTCAAGGGTTGACATCATACATACCCCTCACTCCAAATACCAACGCTTTTTTCAGTTGGTCTTGTTGTTGGAAAACCGGAAAAACAGAAAAAGACAAACGTTTTCCACGGTATGACTACCGTTCTCTTTTTTTCGCAGAGGGTCGAAAAACGACACCCTGAAGAAAGGGCGAGTACCCCCTACTCCAAACACGCTGCCTTTTTCTTCAGGTGGTATCATGTCGACCCTCTACCAAACAAGGGAACGGTATTCAGGTTTTCCAACAAACATTCCCACTGCAAAAAGTGTTGGTATTTTGACTAGGTGCTCCAGTAGAGAGGTTAGATTGAGGGTACCCGATTTTTTTTTTCGGTGGTCTATTTTAGGGGAACCGAATCTCCCAACAAAAAACGTGGATGAGAAAGAGGTCGGGCACCAATTGAACAATAATTGCTGGGGGACCTAAACCATGTTTTCGCCCATTCTGTGGAGAATCCGCCTCACTTCCTTTCTTAACTTTTCTGGCTTCTAAAAGCCTGAAGTCTAATATTTGTGTCATTGGGTTCCTCCAACCTGGTCGAGTCGGGCTTCGGCTTCCGGTCACCCGCCCGCTTGGGAGTCGGGCTCGAAGCGCACGGTGCGTGAGGGCCGGGGGGTCTGAGGGCAGCGTAGGGAGCTGCGGAGGGAGCTGCGGGGCGAGGCCCGGGGCGAGGAGCGCAGCGAGGCAGGCGCCGTCTGCGGCGCAATCGGCGCTGGTTCGGTGACCCGGGCGAGGCCGAAGTCAGCCAACTCCACTTGAATCCCAGAAATTAAAGGCAGTACCAAGGGACCCTCTGGGAATACCAACCATCTTTTTTTGTAAGGGAACCCAAAGACGGTGTCTTGTGATCTTCTTTCTTCACTTGCCCAAAGGACCCAGAAATAAACGGCAGTCAGCTTTGGGGCCATGACTAAAACTGGACCAACACAGCAAAACCAAACTGCTTTGGGGCGGCATCTGAGTTGAATTTGTGGGTTTCGGTCAAGACTTTGGGGGCGAGCCCTGACACCCGGTTTTGGAGTTGGGCGAAGTGGATGGGCCGAAAACAGCCCACTCCACTTGAATACCAGAACGCTGTGGGGTTTAGTCGTTGGTTCTGAATTTCCAGGCAACCGTTTTGGAGTTATCCCGTTTTTGACCAGCCACTTGAATACCCAAGCGCCTTTTTCAGTGGAGTCTTTTGGGAGAATCAACCTGTTTTCCACGAACCCTCAAACCAACAAACCACTTGAGACTTGAGGATGGCCGGATTTAGCCGCTTGCCGACCCAGCGCATGAAAAATATGTTGGTGTTGATGTGTTGGTCCAGTTTTAGTCGTGGGCCCCGATAAGGTGACTACCTTTTATTTCTGGGTCCTTTGGGCAACTGAAGAAAGAAGATCACAAGACACCGTCTTGGGTTCCCTTCCAAAGAAAGATGGTTGGTATTTGGATCGAGGTTGCGGTTACCATGTGGAACTTACTGTCAACCCCTTGCATGTCTTTCTGTGACCCCACGTTGTTTTGAACCCCCCCCCCAACCGCCCGTGATCCTCAAGTGGTTTGGATTTGTTGCTTCGAGCCCTGTGAATCCAGGTGTACGCCTCGAGATGCCAATTCCGAGCTCTTGGAGTCGCGGTTTCCTCTGAAGCCAGCGCCGAAAAATCGTGGCACCGCGGCACCCGGATCAACTCTCTGCTCCAAAGACCATGGTTTGGAAACACCGATCAGTCGACGCGTTCGACACTCCGTTGGCCCAACTGCAAACTGTTGCCAAGGGCTCCAAGGAGTCCGGCTCGGCGAGAACCAAAACGCACGCGGACCTTCGTTTTTTTTGCCACAAGCGGGATACCGAAAAGCTTGACATCCGGGAACTCAGCGAGTGCGGTATGAGTTTGTCTCCAACTTGTTGCCAACAAACACCGTCATGGAGTCACAATCGAGACCTCGCATCAACATGGCCTCAAATCCACTTTCCTACCTTTGGTATGGTAGCAAACAACTACTAAACATGAACAGGACCAAACAAAAGGAAAGCCTAAAACCATGCCCGCAACAGTGAAGATCCATAAGAAATCAAGCCGGGCGGATAACTGCGCCCGCAGTTGCCAATCACAAACGAGTGTTGGCAAGGGGCCGAGCACAGCTGCCGACGGAGAGTAGGTCTTATCAGCTTCTAATTGGTGCTTCCCTTTTACCCTTTACGCACCACACAAGCCAGGGGTTCAAATCCCCAGCCACCAATCCAAACCAACCAGGGGGTTCTTGATCTTCCGAAACCAAAAAAAGCGGCGAAGGGGGCAAAGAGTGCCCAGATCAACCTTACAATCGGATAGCTGTGGCACATGGGTTGAATTCGTTTTTTGAAGGGGGGGTGGGCTGCAACGTTTTTTTTTTTTGTTTTTTTTTTTTTTTTTTTTTTTTAGAAAGCAAGGACAATTGTGATCAAAAAAGACAATCAACCTAAGTGTTTGCCCTCACTCCCACGCACGTTGTCGCGGCACCTGACAGGGGGCCACGACAAGAGGACATTTATCATCTGGGTACCCTTAGCCTTGTGGTGGAATCCATTTTGCACCACCTAAAAAACTCTTGGTTCTGATTAAACGTGATAGTTTCAACCATGGTTTCCCTTCTTGGTGCGAGAAGCAGATTTCGCAACCACCCGCAGCATCGTGGGAGGGAGGCTACGTGGTCACCAGAGACCTTCCATTTCCGGAACAGCCACCTGACTCTGACTTGATCTGCCGGTCTCAGCCACCACTTCAACCCCGAACGCCAAGACACATCCTCATACCCCCTGCTCAGAATACCAACTTGTTTCAGGGTATTTTTGGGAGAACCTAGTTTTCCATGGTAAATACCTCCTTTTTTAGCAGAGGGTCAACATGATACCCTGAAAAAAGAGGGTACTTGGAGTAGGGAGAATGAGCCTAGCTCATGTTCTCAAATCATGCAGATTCATGAGTTGCCTGTGGTGGGCTCTCCGTCCGTCGGGCATTCCCATTTGCCTTCTGGTCGTTGACCCAACAGTTGGAAAGATCACACTTGAAGCCTCATTCAATCTTAGGCCCGACGAATGGAAACACCAAACAAACTCGGCACTAAACGATGAGAACCTACCCCCCTACTCCAAATACCTTGCCTTTTTTCAGGGCATCATGTCGACCCTCCACTAAAAAAGGGAACGGTATTTACCGTGGAAGAGCTTTTTCCGGTTGTCCCACAAAAATACCAACTGAAAAAAAAACCTTGGTATTTGGAGTATGGGGTACACTGACGGGACTCCCACCTACGTCAAACTGTTCAACCTCGGCTCAAGACATAGCCCCTTCACCCAATACCCGGCCTTTTTTCGGGGTATGATGTCGGCCCTCTACTAAAAAAGGGATCGGTATTTACCATCATGGAAACCCAGGTTGTTCAAAGAATACCCTAGAAAAGGTGGGTATTTTGAGTAGGGGGTGGAAGTTGGAATCGAACCGGGACTTGCAGAGCCTTGCCCAAATGGCGAGGTCTAAACCATGAAAACCCAGCCATGTGCGAATTCGCAACCCAACACATGGACATTTCAACGATCAGACGTCAATTCCATTATTAAACCAGATCTGAACATGAAACACCTGCTATGAAACACACATATGTTTTTTCAGCCCGTAAGACATGAATCCCCCCCTTGAAGGATCCTCATGCGTGAAATCGCCTCCCAAGAAACTTGGCAAACATACGAACCCCCTGCTTGTTGATATGGCCATGGGTCAAAACCCCGTACCCCCAGTGAACATCCCAATCCCAGCTAATATTGTGTAAAATGGCTGGTGCACCTACTCCAAAATGGTAGTATTGGTGTTGACCCACAGCCATATGGCACATCGCAAGCAAATCAACCATACTCAACCACGGCACCATGGCTTTTGTACGAGTCATAGAGGACTTCCTTGTTCCCGTACCCCCTACTCCAAACACCGGTTATTGTTCAGGTGATTTTTGGAACTTCCGTGCGAATACCTTCCTTTTTATAAAGGGATGACATCATACCCTAAGTTTACTAAGAATAGCGTGTATTTGGAGCATTGTAGGTTCAATGGGAAAAACACAACGGTCTCTCCTTTGGGTCGATTCGGTCACACCGGTCCGACCAGCCTGCATCATCGGTAGGTCGCCCAAGCTCACAATGTTCCTCACGGCTTTGACGTTTCTCTCACAACTGCAGCTGAAGTACGGTTGGTTCAAAGAAAGCAGCTAAAGAAAGCAGCTACAGGAATTTCCACACTATCCACCAAACGCAGGATTTCCCATAGCTCCCGTAGCTGGTTGCTGAAATGTTGCTTAGATCGGTTCTATCGATGTCTTCATGTTTTCTATGGCCCTTATTATAATCCCTGTGAAGCCGCTATTGGAAATCGGTTTGGGGCGCTCACTTGTTCAACCGGTTCACCTGCTAGGTCCTCCAGTAGAGAGGTTAGAATCAGGTTTCCCTTCTTGCTGTAGTCTATTCTAGTAGGAGAGCCCTCCCCCAAAAAAGGGTAAAAGGGCACTACTGGGGGACCTAGCCTGGGAATCTACCGACCTACCAGCAACCCTCCTGTTTGGACAGCACTTGAGTGTGGACAGCACTTGAGTGTGTCTCAACCGTGGTTTTGAGACGCATCTTGGGGTGTCCTGTGCTGGTAGATCGCTTCCGATCCAGTGCAAAAAGAGCCGCCGAACTTTTGGTGTGCCACTTAGGTACGTCAGATAATTCAGCGGTTACTGAACGGAGACTTCTATAACCATGAACTTTGGTGGAAACCAACCTCACCATGGTTCTTGGCGAACCACTTCCGTCCCAACGAAATCCAATCGCCAGCGGCGAGCGACTCGCCGCATGTCGCGGCCAAATCGAGACCCCTCCCCTCGACGCCTCGAGCTCCAGCTTGGGAGCGGATCGCCTTCGCTGAACGCTTCGAAGGAAAATCTGTGTCGGTGCCGGACGAAAACGGTACCATAAACGTGACTCACGTCCTCCGGAGCGAGGAAGAACAGGGCTTCGGTTTTCAATTTGTCCAAGAGAAACCAAAGGGCCGCAACATCGGCTTCTCAGTTGGTATTTTGGACCCAGGAACAGAACCCCCTCAAACTACCCGCCTGGTTCAGTTGGTATTTTGGGGGGAAAACCGGTTTCGGCTTACCATGATAAATACCGCTTTGTTTGGTAGAGGGTCGACATGATACCAACTGAAAAAAGAAAAGCCGGGTATTTGGAGGTTACGGGGGAAGCTTAGCTAACCTTTTGGGGTCACGAACTCTGGACCCACAAGGGGAACAACATCCAAAGGTCGGCTTTGGACAAGTAGCGCTTAGCAAGGGCCGCATGAACAAAGTACTGTGGATGGTTGCGTCATCCGCTTCTCGCACCACCTAAGAAAGCTTGGTGTCTGATGATTCCCCTGAAAATACCAATGCACAGTGGTTTCCCATGGTTTCCAAGCGGTGCAAAATGGATTTCCTCCATCCACAGTATGGTGAAGGTGGCCGCTTTCGGTGATACCAAGGGAATCCCTTTCAAGTGATATGCGGATGCCGCATGGGGTTGTCTTTTTTCAGGCTCAGTACATGTTCTGGGGTTGACTTCAAGGGCCTGGGGCGAATTCCTATACGACACGAGCGTAATCGGTTTTAGGACGCATGAAGAAGTCAGTATATAGAACCACATCAAAATATCTTTGGAGGACAGAAAGGATGAATAAGGGGTGCATAAAGCTCATTAGAAACATGCCCGTACTTCTTTCTGGTGCCTGGACACCTCCATGTGACTTGTTTGCTCGTTGGTATGTGGGTGGATGACCCTTGAAGCTGACTTTCTGAATGGATTTGCCAAAGGAAGTCTGAACTGCCCCCTACGCAAAACAACCGCTTTTCAGGGTATGTTTGGGAAAACCGGCTTCGGTTTTCCATGGTAAATCCTCCTTTTTTAGAGGGTCGACCTGATATTCTGGGTATTGTAGCTTGAGTTCCCAGAGGCTCGCGGGGCTTTCAAAAGACCCGACCCCATTAGACACCCCGGAACTAGTTGGGGGTCTCAAAAGATTGTTTGAAGGCACATCCATCGAATTGGAGCCTTTGAGTTATAAACAGGGTCATAATATTCTCCCCAAATGCATAAGGCCGTCCTATGAATTGGCGGGGGGGGAAGTGATGAATCCCCACTAAAGGGGACCCTATTTTTGAACCAGAGGTTTAACTTCATCCGGGGTTCGCATTCAGTCATTAAGCGGCACTAGTGATGTTGGTTGAATTACCCTCTGCATCTAATCCCACTCTTCTCAGGGTATGATATGGTGTGATGTCAACACTTGACTAAAAAGGGATCGGTACCTACCGGTTTCAACCAATCAAATTGTCGAGGGTTACTGGTCCCCCTTACTCAAAATACCTGCGTTTTTCACTTGGTATTTTTGGGAAAACCGGCTTCGGTTTTCCATGGTAAATACCGATCCCTTTTTTAACAGAGGGTCGACATGATACCAACTGAAAACAGAGGGTTTTGGAGTAGGAGATATCTGGAGCTACTACAAATGGAGGTATTTACCATGGAACACCAATCGCTCTTCCCAAAAACACCCTGAAAAACGGGCCGGGTATTTGGAGTAGGGAACAGGGGGTCCATACTGCTCCCGACTTTTTGCCGAGCCGCTGCTGTCCGCCGGCTCCACCGGCTGCCGGTTCTCGCACGCTGGCGCCATGGATCCGAGCGACTTGGATCGAGATCGGTCGGTTTTTGGGACGGGCGCGGGGGGTCGCCACTTTTCTGGACCATGCGACAAGGTTAGGTCAAGCAGTTTTTCTCTTCTTCTCCGAGATACACGCCGCTTGAGGTTTAGTTCTTTTCTTTCTCGAGATCAAAAAGTGGACAACAACAACTTGAGGTTTGAACGGTCGGTTGCAACTATGAAAATCGGTCGGATGTGTTTTTGTTTCTCCCGCGCAGCCCAAGCCTTCTGACGCTCGCGCATATTTCGGAGCCTTGGCTCTCGTTGAGCCCAAACGCTAAGACGAAGGCATGAAAACTGCCCCCCACTCCGAATACCCGGCCTCTTTTTAGGGTATGAGGTCGACCCTCTACTAAAAAGGAGGTATTTGCCTTGGAAAACCGATCGGTTTTGCCCAAACATACCCTGAAAAAAGTAAGGTAATTGTTTGGAACAGGGGGATAAAAACAACCTTCAATCGAGTCAGAAACAAAACCGATTGGTTTTCTGCAAGTCCCCTTCCAGCTGATTTGTTGTGCTTTGGGGGCAATAAAAGGTCCTCACATGGGTGGCTCGTCTTGTGAGGCTACGTGAACCCTCGAACAACCCATCAAAGGGAACTCACCCCATACATTCGGGGGCAGCAACCCATCTTCATGCCTAGTTTGACGGTCCAGCTGCCTGAATGTCCGTGGTTTTGAAGAAACCCCAACCCCATTTTGGGGGTTCCCGGAGAGAAAACCCAACGAGCCACCCACAGAAGCCATATGCAACCCATGGGTCCATCCCCCACGCCGATTGCGAAACGTCTGCCCGAAACTCCTCCTGTGGGCAACCTTTTGTAACCTTGCACTTTCCAGTTCAATGGCAAGACAAACACATAACATTTGGTCGGGCCGATAACTTTTGAATGGGAATCGTAAGCAGAAGCCCTACACCCAATACCCGCTTTGTTCAGCTGGTATTTCTTGAAAAACCTGGTTGCCCAGGTTAAGTGCCTCTATTTTTTAGCAAACGGTGAACAGGATACCCTTCAAAAAGCCGGGTAATTGGAGTCGGACCCAGGACAGAACCAAAGGTCTCCGGTGGATTCGCTACTGAGAGGTCGCCTGCAAGGTTTCAAGACGCCTGGCGAAATTTTGTTGAGAAGCTCCAGATATCCCCTACCCCCTACACCCAATACCCACTTTTTTCAGGGTATGATGTCGGCCCTCTACTAAAAAAGGAGGTATGTATTATGGAAAACCAGGTTTTCCCAAAAATACCCTGAAAAAAACGGGCATTTGGAGTAGGGGGTACTCCAAACACCCGGCATTTTTTCAGTTGGTATCATGTCGACCCTCTACAAAAGGGAAAAATCGGCGTTTACCATGGAAAGCCTCATTTTTGTTCTTTCTTTCTCCGGTTTTCCACCAAACATACCTGCAACGGGGAAAAAAAAAAAACACGCTGGTATGTTATGAGTAGGGGGCATATCCTCAGGCCTCAGGCCTCGCCCTCTCAGGGGCCCTCTCAGGGGCCCAAGCGCCATCGAATGGGAGCCGTACCTTGGGAAGACCGATCGGCTTTTCCATGGAGGCTGCAATTTGAAGCCATTTAGCCAATCCAAGGGGACTGCCCCTCACTTCTCCTCACGCAAAGCGTCCGCCAAAGTAACCCTTTCGAACAGATGTTGCAGGCTGGCGCAAAGGAAAACCCAATGGAAAACAACCCCCGACCCAATACCCAAGGCCATTTTTCAGTTGGTATGATTTGTCGACCCTCTACAAAGGAGGTATTTACCTTGGAAAACCTTTTTCGGTTTTCCCAACATACCCTGCACAAAGCGGGTATTTGGAGTAGGGGGAACATCATCCAGCACGCCGGAAGTGCTCTCTCCCATGTCCAACATTTTAAATGTCCAAAGAGCAGGTTGGGGGGAGCTGGATTAAAAGACGGCAAAAATTGCGCTTCCCCCTCCTCAAAATACCAGCTTCTTTTTCGGGGTACTTTTGAGAAAAACTGGTTTTCCATGGTAAATACCTCCTTTTTTAGTAGAGGGTCGATATCATACCCGGAAAAAAGGCCAGGTATTGGAGTACGGGGCCCTTTCCGCCAAACATGGCACCCGTCGACTCCGAAAAGGGGCGATCCATGGATTCGGTACCTCAGGTAAGTGGGTTTGTAATACCCATGGTGAGATAACCAACAAGAAAGCGATTCATATGGTTCGAGAAGTCTGTAATTTCACCATGCTTACTGACCACTTCCCTGTACCCATGGTTCCACAAGTCTCCGTGTGAGTGTTTCCCCTTTCGCTCAACCTGACGTCACCCCTCGCCTCGATCGCGGGCCCTTGTCCGAAATCTCCTCCCTTTTCGAACCGAAAGACATCACTCCGTGGGTTTCAAGTGCCTCGAGTCGCAAAGCGCAGCTTCTTAAAGCTGAAAGGACTCCGTCGGCGGCAGACAAATATCAAACTCTCTGGGACGCGAATCCAGAACCTCACAGTTGCCCAAAGGACCCAGAATTAGAGGGTTATAGCCTTTTGGGACCTTTGCTAGAATTTGCTAGAGATAAAATTGGAAAACCCAAAGGTTAAAACGTCGGCGTTGGGCAACTGAGGAAATCGCAGCACGAAAAGGACTAACCATGGTAGTTGAAACATCCCCGCAAGAAAAACTGGGGATTTCAAGAAACCGCCCTGGTGTTTCACAAATGCACAGATCTGGGCATCCGTAACTCACCAACCAAGAATCAGACGGATTCACAGCCATGGTAAGCTTCGCATATGCTTCACCTTGAGGCTTTCAGCTAGGCAGCCTCCTGCCCTCGACAGAGCTGCGCCGGAAAACGCTGGTTTGGCCATCGCAAACTCTGAGCTGAAGCGAAGCGCGGAAACCACCGCCTACTCCAAATACCTTTATGTTTTAGGGTGTGATGTGGACCCTTAGACTAAGAAAGGAGGTATTTACCGAGCACCGGGTTTTCAAAAAAGTACCCGGAAAAAGCGTGGGCATTTGGAGGTTGGGGGGGCCCTTGTTGCTCATAAAGACCCGCAAGGAGCCACTCCATGGCATCGCCTGCGACCTATCGGACAGGCCGGCGGCTGGCCTCTTGGTTTTGCCGTGGAGGCGCGCGCCGTGCCGAGGTGCAAGTCGTTTCAGATCCGTTGCCAAAATCTCCCCCTACTCCAAATACCCACGATTTTGAGTTGTTTTTTTTGTTTTTGTTTTGGGGGGGGGAGAAAAACTGGGTTTGTACGGTGAATTCCGATCCCTTTTTCGGTAGAGGGTCGACATTTCGTACCCGCTGAACAAAGCGACGGTACTTGGAATGGGGGTGTCAATTCACATGGTACCAGAAAGGAAGCATTGGTGATGGAGGTTGGGTCCTGTTTCTCCCAAAGGCTGCTTGGGGCTCAAAACCAGGACGTGTTTGAACATCTCTACTCTTGGTATGGTAGCAAAAAACTTTGTTTTTTGCAGACCCCCAGTAAAAATAAACAGAATCAAAAAACTAAAAAACCAAACAACATGCCAAGAACAGCGAAGTGAAGGCCCTAAATCCATCGAATTGGAGCCTCTGGGCCAACCAGTTCGGTGGTGGTTGGCCCCTCCAAAAGTGAGCCTTCCGCACACCCAGTTGGATACCCCCCCCCCCGAATAAACTGGGGTTGATGAATATGAGGTCGGCATTGCCTAGGTCCTCCAGATTTGAGAGGTTAGAACAAGGGTACCCGATTGTTTTTCTGTAGTCTATTTTGGAATCAAATCTCCCCCAAACAAGAAACGGTAAAAGGGCACTGGGGTCCCTAGCTCTCTGGCTGAAAGCGACTGGTCTTTGATCCGGTCAGCCCGGACATGAGCTCCCCGAACTGGATCCATCGAAGCTCGCGGGGCAGATTTCTCATACGAAGGTCTAGGTCTAGGTTTCTTCCACCCCAAAACCATGGGGTTCCAAAACTCTACACCAAACTCCTGGATCGCCAGCGGCTTTTTCGCTTTCCATGAACTTTTTACCCCAACCGGTCGCAGCAGTGACTGAACAAAGAGCGATCGCAAGACTTGGCGATCTAGGCAGTTTGAAGGACCCGAGTTTCGTAGCTTTTGTCACCCGTTAAGGGTGACCCATTCACGCTAGATAAGAGCCCTACACCCAACTACTCGGATTCTTTAGGATATGATGTCGACCCTCTACTACCGCCCACTTCGGGATGCTGGGTTTTCCGGGCTGGCTCAAAGGAAAACCCCAAGGGAAAACAACAAATCCCCCAGCACGCCGGAACTGCTTTCTCTCATGTCCAAAATCTCAAGTGTCCAAAGAGCAGGTTGGGGGTCCAAATCTAACCCAGAGGGCCCAAGTACCTCCTGAGGATGGCTTTTGGGAGTAAAAAGGGGTCTAAGTACCTCCTTAGAAGGTACTTGGACCCTCTGGGTTATGATACTTTGGCAACCCTTTTGACGTCTGAATGGCGCGCAGAGATCAATTCACCAACTCCAAATCACTTTCACTGACGCATGGAGTGGATCGGTGAAAGTCAGTCTGATTGACCAGCAATCTCAGTTTTCAAGATTGGACCAACACAATACTTGGGTGTTCGGTTCGCCAAGTTGGTAAGCCTCCACTTGCTTTTTGCATAAGCCCCCTGGAAGAAATAATACATATGTCCAGTAGTGATAGATATCCTTTGAAACCAACAGAGAAAATAACAAGTATCATTAAACAAATGGAGGTAAGTTGCAAGGCATACAAATGAAGTTCCCCGTGTGGGGCTAACATCTTGGGGGGTGAACAAAACGAGTGGCGTTTTCCACTTAGCTTGGCCAGCCGAACATCCGAGCTACACTAAGTGGGTCCATGAGGAAAAGTTCTTGCTCACGCTGTTGAGCTAGCACCTTACTCCAAATACCCGCTCTTTTCAGTTTTTTGTTTTGTTTTTGGAAACACGGGTTTTTCACTGTAACTGCCTCCTTTTCTAGTAGAGGATCAACATCATACTTTGAAAAGAAAGCGGGTATTTGGAGTACCCCCTACTCCAAACACCCTCCTTTTTCAGGGTATCATGTCGACCCTCTACTGAAAAAGGATGTTTTAGAAAAAAAAGGTATTTTGAGTAGGGAGTAGGGGGAACATGACCCAGGTTTGCATCTCTCCGTGCAAAACCTCCGAAAGAGCTGAGCCTGCCCTTCACCCGTGAGCCTGCCCTTCGCTCGCGGATCGATTCTCCGCGGCAGGGCATGGGAAAATTCACGACGGCAGCCATGTAGACTTGGATGTTCACATGAGTCATGATCAAAACCTTGGGCAAGTTTCTCAATCCTTTTTTGGTCAAGGGCCCCAAATCCCAATAGGGGCCCTTGGGCGACTAATAGGGTCTTAGGCTGGGCTAGCAAGGTTTCCTTTGGGGACCATCTCTAGGGCTCCCCTCTTTGGGGGGACTGACAACCATACACCCTAAAAATGGTCGGGGCCCAGCTTGTCAAGAACTACTCGAAGCCGGAAATCCGCATGGCAAGAGTATCCCTTACCTCCATCCCGAATCGGTTTTGAGCAAGTGGCTCATGGTCAAAATCAAACCCCTAGTTGGACCGCAGGTTTGAGTCGCGTCCATTCAGGGTTTCATGGGTACCTATGCTTGACCACACATCTTCGAGCGTGAGGTAACTTCCGTGCAAGTTAGTAAATTCTAAGCCATAAGTCTTGAGCGGGATTGAACTGGTTATTCGGGGGTGAACCAAAAGCGGCGTTTTCCACCCAACTGGGCTGAAGATCCAAATAGGTTGTTCGTCCATGGAGATAACTGGACTTAGTTGCCAGGGATCCTTACATTATACACCTGAACATTGCAACTTGCAAATGGTGGCTTCCCTTATTTTGGTGGAAAAAAACATGTTTCAAGTGGTTGCAAAATGGCTCGATCTTTTAAGGAGCCCTGGTTGCCTTGTCCTGTTCCCGTGGCTGTGGAAATCCAAGTATCCAGTGACACGCTTCTCATCTTTGGGGGCCAGTGAGGATCCGTCCAGGACCACTACGGGTCCACCATCAGGATCCTTCCACCTTCCATTTGCTGCCGCCTGGAAGAAAGAAGCAGACTTCCAGTAGTGATACATTCCCTTTCAAACCAACTTGGGAAAGCAACAGATAATATATATTCTTAAGCACGGCTGTGGGGCATGACCACTTCTGTGATACAATAGAAAGGGCTTCCCAAAGACTAATTCGAACATAGAAACGGGGATTCCCTTGTATCACAGAAGTGGGGATAAACCACTTGATCCCACAACCCTGTTCTTAAGCAAATGGAAGGGGATCCTTCTCAGACACGCGTGCAACTTTCACGCTTCCGCCTGAAGGGCAACCAATTCGGAGAAAGGCTCCTGAGGCGCAAACTTTTAGACACCCACTACCCGCCTTTCTTGCTCAAACCTTGCTCCAACACAGGAGGTAATTATTATTCACTTGCCCAAAGCACCTATAAATAGAAGGTTAACCTTTTGGGGCCATGACTACAAATGGACCAAACAAGGAACACCAAAAGGTCACAAGGTCGGCTTTGGACAACTGAGATTAACCATGGAAAACCAGTTTTCCTGAAACATAACCCCCCCCCCCAAACCATCTTTTTTCAGGGTATCATGTCGACCCTCTACTAAAAAGGAGGTTTTTACCATGGAAAACCAGGTTTTTCAAAAAGACCCTGAAAAAAACTGGTATTTTGAGTAGTGGGTACCCGGAAAAGAATAGGTATTTGGAGGTTACAGGGGTAAGTAAACCGGAGTTCTGCACCTCAAACACCCACTTTCCATGGTTCTAAGTCTTCTAAGTTATCGCCAGGCTTACTAACCACTTACTAAGTACCCTGCTTTTCAAATTGTTGGCTGAAAGGAAACATGATGGAAAACCTTACTTTGAGTAAACCCCGACAAGCATTTGATTGATTGAGCTAGATTGCGGCCGAGGCGAAAGGTTCTGAAACACGCTGCTCTTGATGCGACCGCCGAGAAACTCACTTGAAGAAAATGCAAACAAGTGCAGGCCTGAAAGTTGCCGAAGTTTCCCGGGACGTGGACTTCCAGTGATAGATTCCCCGTCGAGGGGTCCTGAAAATCAGACCTTTTCTGAAACGCAAATGAACGCGTGGTTTGGTTAAGGGGCCCACCAGGAGGAGATTGGGTGAGCTTGCGCCCCAAGCTGACCGAATGAACGTGTCACATGCAAAGCTTCCGAGAAGTTCGACACAAATGAAAAAGCGCGAAACAAGCTGACACAAAATGGCCTCACACAAATCAACCAGCTTGCTTTTCGAAGACACCAACAAACACACATGTCTCAAAAAGCTGTTTGGTGCAGATATATGGCATATATTATGGGTGTCTTTGAGGGCACTATTCTTGCGGCTTTAAAGGCAGGACAACCGCAATGTTGGAGGGTTCGCCAAAAAATGACGCACCTATGTTTGGCTTTTTCGCTTGTGTCAACTTTCCTCAGGCGACACACGCCCCTTGGAAGAAGTATGTCCCCGATTGCGCGGAGCATCTTGAACTTATAGAAACGAATGGGATCCTGTGATCCCAGCCTCATATTATGAGGCGCAATGGGCCCGCCCAGCGTGGCTGGGCCCAATGGGATGGATATTTCGCAAATGCTGGTAAAGACCAGGGACACTGCCCTACACTCCAAATACCCGCTTTGGTTTGGGTATGATGTCGGCCCTTTGCTAAAAAAGGGTTTGGTATTTACCGTGGAAAACCCGGCAACAAACACCGTGTACGGTAACATCCGCGGGAATTTGGAGGTGGTGCGTGAACGGACCCAATTCCACTCCTCGCCGGACAATACGGAGCTTGCAACTGCCAGGCTGCAAAAGAACAAATGCTTGTGGGTCAAAACCAATGGGATCCCATTTTGGGGTAGGTGGATTCACCACCCATTTTGGTTTATTTTAGTGGGGATTGGGATGTTCACTGGGGGTACGATTTGGATTTTGACCCACCAAATCAGCCCATGGGAAACCACCGCTCTCTGTTCAAGAGACATGCCTCTTTTAGTCAGGCTTTGCCATCATACCCTACCCTGCCAACTCGAAAAAAAAAGGGGGCTTTTGGGTGGTCGCGGGGCAGGGGCCGAAAGGGGTCGTGATAAACATGAGCCATCCGAATGGCGGCAAATGAGCCATTTGCCCCAAGGAAAGCAAACACCTTCCGTAATTAACCTCCAACTACCCGCTCTTTGCAGTTGGTACTTGTGGGAGCACCCGGGTTTCTATGATAAATACTTTTTTTTTTAGAAGAGGGTTGACATGATACGCAGGAACAAAAGCCGGCATTTGGAGTAGGGGGTATCAGGGAACCACCTCCAAAGTGCTTGGTGGACGGAATGCCACCCTGAATGATGTCTTCCAAACAGTATAGTAGTAAAAACAAAAAAATCGGATTCGTCTGAGATCCGCCCGAAGTGCTTTGAGAACTGAGGAAATCCAGGGTTTGCATTCGAAATGGAGATCTCGAATCTGGGCCAGGATCCTTTCCAATTCAAGTGATAGAAACCCAAATGTGCCGTTGGTTCTGTCATTTACTACGTTTTTTCGGTCTACATTTTGTTGAAGTACAAGCTGTGTACGGCCGAATCTTTTTCGCCCGCCGGCCAGCCAAAAGGGCCATACGACAAAAACTAATCGATCCAGATATGGGTATGGGTCAAAAAACCGGTACCACAATGGAACCCTGGTAAGTGGAAAAATGGACCAAAACCTGCGTAACCCTAGCTCTTTAATTTTGAGCCACTGCCATATGGGCTTCCGTCCAAAAAAGCAAAACTCCGGCTTTCCAGCATGAAAGTGGGTTTGTGATTTGGCTGTGGCAACCAAAAAACCGGTACCAAAATGGCTTGCCCTCGTAAGTGGAAACATGGACCAAAGCCCGCGTAATCCCTCCTGTTCAATTTTGAGCCACAGCCATTTGTTCAGGGAACCCTTTCAGGTGGTTTCTACGGGGACATCAAAAGGAAACCTCTCATTTTGGGGTGTGCTTATTTTGACCCGACCCCGCACGTCACGCAACAATCGGCTACCATACCCAATCAATAGGTAGTGTGTTCATGTGCTTGGGAATTTGCCTGGGAAATGGGTGGGATGCAATTGGGTTTCCAAGTGCCAACCGATTGTTACTCACAAAACTGGTCTTCACCTACCCCCTACACCCAATACCCACCTTTTTTGGGGCATGATGTCGGCCCTCTACTAAAAAAGGAGGTATATACTTACCATGCAAACCCAGGTTTTCCCAAAAATACCCTGAAAAAACGGGTATTTGGAGTAGGGGGTAGACTTGGCCCAAGCTCAACACCGACAAACACATGTTCAGATTCAGCTCTATTGTCGGCTGGGCACCGTTCATGGAAAGTCGACCCCGGACAGTCGAGCCTTTTCGGGTTGCAGCTCGGTTGCAGTTTTGGAGCTCCGCCTCACGGCAAGAAGCGCCCGGGCTGTGCGCGGCGTGCCCGCTTCGCGATCAGGTCAAAGCGATGCAGCCGGCTCGCCTGGCAAAGCCGAAAGTGTCGGAGACTTCCGCTCGAGTTTGCTTTTGCATTTCTCAATCGCTCCATCGATGGATTTGTGTTGACCTATCGCTCCGGCAAAGAAAAATGAGACATCCTCCAGGCGCAGGCCTGAAAGACTCTTGACCGCACCTGGAATCAGAAAGAAAAAACTAGGTCCTCCGGTGGAGAGGTTAGAATAAGGGGACCCTGTTTGCTTTTCTTCTTCTTTTTTTCTGGTAGCCTATTTTAGTAGGGGAACCCTCCTCCAAAAAAGGGTAAAAGGGCATTACTGGGGGACCTAGTCAACATCCTGTGGATGGGTACGAAATCCGCTTCTCGCAAAAAAGTTCAGACACCAGCTGGTTTCTGATTCGATTCCCCAACGTAAATGCCAACAAAAACAATGGTTTCAACTTAAGCGGTGCGAAATGGATTTCGCAACCATCCACAGTAAGGGGTCCCCAAAGGGGTCCGTAATGTTAAGAGAAACGCCCAAATGTGTTGTGAGAAACAAACACAGGTTGCTTTGAGACCCCAAGCTTGAAACCGCCATCATTCAAGTTTCCCGATTCATGGTGATGACATATCCAACCCATTACGTTGAATCAACGCTGACTGTATGAAGCCATCATTCAATCTGTACGTGGTATGAATCGCCAGTTCACTGATCTATCAACCCATGAATCAACCGGGGGCACCACTTTAGCGCAACAAGATCCTCTTTTTTTATTTAAAAACAAAACATATTTTTTGGGGGGAAATGAGACGACAATTCCACACGTGACCCCCTCTCCAAACCTCAATTGTTAAGGGGTTGATACTTTTATTTGGCATCTGAAACAGGGCCCAAACAGGCGTCGCTTGAGAGAACATTTTGGTTTCATGGAACTTTTGAGGTGATCGTGCCTGTATTTTCCTCGTGGGCGACAATGTGTACATCTGTCCATCTGTCCGAGTTCTTAGATCCCAGATGGATTGCCATACCCTGCCCCGCCAAGCGCTAGTCGTGGTATCGATGTCACTGCAAAAGCTAAATAATGATGTGGCAAGGCCGCAAGATACTTGAGCATGAAGGCAGTGAAGTGTTAAACCCTTGGTTGCTGTTGACCCGCCTGCAAAAAGTTTAACTGTTTGGGGGTTTAGTTCGGAAAACCCCTTCATTTTTCAAAAAGGTAAAGTCTAAAGATCCGTTGCCCAATAGCAGTCGAGAACCCGCATGCATCTTTGTGGTTGATTGAGGTGTTCCAACGAATCCCCCACCTTGTGAAGGCCTTAGCAAGTGGCGAACCCCACTTTGGTTTTCTCACCCCCTAACAGGTTGTTAATCCTAACCAACAACTTACTAACTCAGCCGAATACCCAAGCAGACAAACTGAATCACCTCAAACATCTAAGTTGGTTTGCCTCCAGATTTATGAGATTCCTGTTGCTTCCCTTATTATTTGTTTGTTTCTTTTTAAATATATCTCAATAAAATACCGAGCCTCAAGAGAAAAATCACCCCTACCAGTTTAGACACGTGTTGGAAAAGAAGCGTTCTTTTGCCTTCCGTTCAAGAACCAGGGCCTGGATGCCTCAGTTGGATATCCACATTGCCGAACACCGGGGCCCACACCCCGAAAGGGAGGGCAAAACACAAACCCTCTACACCAAGTACCCACTTGTTGGGGAAAAGCCTGGCTTTCCACGGTAAATACCTTCTTTTTTAGTAGAGGGTCGATATCAATCATACGCTAAAAAAGACGGGTATTGGGTGTAGGGGGGATACGAACCCCGGGCTCGGGTTGTGTTTCAACCGCCGACCCACCTGATCGAAAGCGCCCGCAAAGGCGTGACCCAAGACGGGGGCGGACTGCGTCCTGCCGAAAAAAAAGAAGAGTCGTCACCGAATCAAAGCCGAAAGTAGGAATTGGAGCGGGTCAAAAACAACAACGGGGTGCCCCAAAAACAAACCCACCCAATAGGAATCGGCATCCAAGTGGCTGGTTTCCCTTTCCCATCCCAAAAAGGTTCCAAACCCAAAAACAAAGGTGAAAGAAGCCAAAGTCAAGGTGTTGGGCGCCCCAAGGACCTGACTCCCCCCCCAAATTGATTTGCCACCAAAGCGCCCAATGAAAATCACGTCATGAGAACCTCAAAGTTTTGGGAGCATACCCACACACAATACTCACGTTTCTCGAGGAAAGGTTGGGTATTTACCAAAGCCTTGGTAGCAAACACCGAAAAAGAACCACGAAGATTTCGAATTTGCCGGGGGGGGGGGAGGCTTTGACCGTTTCAATGGGCCAATGGTGACGTACAGCAAGGGAAGCCAGGTGCACTTCCATTCTGCGTCACTATCAACACCTGGTGTTACACCTGGTGTTAAACTCAGGGTATGATGTCGACCCTCTGTAAAAAAAAGGAGGACATTTGGCACTGAAGAACCGATCGGCTCTCCCAAAAAAATACCTGAAAGCAAGCGGGTATTTGGAGTACGGGCAAGGCATGAGGTGTCTAGTGCATGGCTTGAGCTTCATAGTTTGCTCCAACCAGATGGCTTCATTGTGGTTAAAGAGAGAACCCCCGTGACCGCATACCCACATCTTCTTCCATTTGCTTAATCCCCTGGAAAAATGAACATATGGCTGTGGGTCAAAACCAATGGTGCCATTTGGGGTAGGTGCACCACCCATTTTACTCTACTTTAGTGGGGATTGGGATGTTCACTGGGGGTGCGGGATTTTGACCCATGGCCATATTTCAACTCCTTTTAAAGCCACAAGGGAAAAGAAAAACACGTTCGTTGTATGTCAACCCTTTTCAACAAACAGAGGTTATGGAAAACCACGCGTGGCCCGGACCATAATGGAAAGTGAGCGTTGGTTTCATGTGTGGGCTTTTGTTTTCCTTTTCATGTGCTGTTGGCAAGCAACACTCAGTTGCCGTACGTCTCAACTCTTGACGCAGAAAGTCGAAACAAATGAGACCGACGTGTGTGTGTGTGTGTCACACTTGCGCACGTGCGTGCGTGCTAGCGCGGATATCTGCAAAGCTTGGCATATTTAAGCCCCATGCGCAGAAACCCTAAGCAAAAAACACTGTTCATCAACCTGCAAACCTCAGAAACCTCAAAGCCACAACGCAAGAACTTCCACCAAACGACATGTTTCTCGTTGTGGTAACCGCTACGCTAAGCTTCGAGGTAAACACGATGCAAGCGGCTGCTCAGACTGCCCATGCATATTTATGCGAGAGATTTGCTGTACACGTGCTTACGCATGTCCTTCTGTGACTGACAAACTTTGGTGTTGCGAGCTCTGTGCAAGTGTTGCTCTCGCAAGTGCTCGACCCAAGTGTTCTGCGCAAGTTGCTCTGCGTGCGCAAGCGCCTGCAAGATTGTGCAAGTTGCGATGAGCAAGCGCTCTGCGCATGCTGCGAAAGATCGGAACAAGTTTCTACGAGCAAGTTCTCTGCGCGCGCTGACGGAAACACGTTGCAACCTTTCGATTTCAATTGTCGATCCGGACCTGCGAGGGTACTTTCCTACGAAAGAGTTGCGACCTTCCAGCCAGAGCCCTCTGAAAGTGTACCTTGCGTGCTACTTTTGTGCTTGAAAGTTACCATTTGCCAGCCGCAGCTGCGAAAGAGTACATTGCGGACTTTCGTGCTTAAAAGTTGCGCTTTTCCAGGTGGAGCTGCGAAAGTGCACCTTGCGAGCTACTTTCGCGCTGTCTTTCTATCTTAGAAGCTTCGGAGATGAAACGTGGTTCGAGCTCTGCGCTGCTCGCTTCCAAGAGCAGGCGCGCAAACCACGATCAACCCGCTAATCCCCGCAGAGGGTCGCGCGCGCACATCAGAAATCGTAACAAGTCCTCAGTTTTTGCACATCGACCACGCCAATCCTTGCAGACAGTGTCATTTTCGCAGAGTGGGCTTGGTCCCACCGCGCCGCCTTAACAGACTAACTATCTTTCGTGTCCACATGTCTAGCGCGAGCTATCTCGTGCTAGTTGGCTCGCGCAAGTTTCGCTCGCGGTGCGAGCTTTCTCGCGCAAGTTGGCTCGCGCAAGTTTGGCTGCGCGATCTTTCTGGTGCAAGTTGGCTCGTGCAAGTTTGGCGGTGGGAACAAATCTCGCGCAAATTGGCTCGTGCAAGTTTAGCGGCGCGAAAAAAATCTGGTGCAAGTTGGCTCGTGCAAGTTCGGCTGTGCGATAAGGCTGGCGATTTTACCGGAAGAATTCTTCACAATGCTTTCGGGGAAGAAATGAACACATGGAGGTGTTCCGGGAGGCGCGGTTCATTTCGGGGTCACCTCCTGGCCGCGACATTTCTTAAACACCTCCTGCTTCTTCGTTGGTGCAAATTTTGAGTAGATTCCAGTCCCTTAATACAACAAAAACACCAGAAACCCAAGTCAAAAGCGACAAACTGACAGGGGATCAAGACTTCCCCCGCAACCACGCAATACCAGCTTTTCTCAGGGTATGATTTGGCATCCCTTGACTAAAGATGGTCTTTCCAAGAACTGTCCAACTTTTGGTATGGTAGCACAGTAGTAGCACAGCTTTGTTTGCTGCAGCCCCTAAAATGAAAACCAAAAAGCTAAAAGGCCTCGGATCCCCAGCCTCGGAACCTGCTACCTGAAAGCCCCGAACCCCTGATTGGCCTATCTGGGCCTATCGACCCCATAGCTTTCAGTTGCGGAAAAAAAATCATGCCAGCGAGGCGAACACATTTGCCAGGTTGACTATCCCTACCCCAAATTATCCGCTTGTTTCATGGCATTTTCGAAGAACTGGTCGGTTGTCCGAGGGAAAAATGCCTCCCTTTCCAGTCAGCAATCATACTCTACCATACCTGGGCTGTCCTCAGATCCTTGCTACAAGATAGACTTTTTAGTGGGTTAAATGGAAATCCAACCACACTAAGCTAAGAAGCTGAGGAACCGGATGGCTGGAAACCACCAAGATACCTAAGGGGCAGATGGGTTTCAAGTGCTATGTTGGAATGAGGGAAATTGCATGGGTTACCAAAAATCCTCACCAACACGCAAACCACGAATGGGTTGCCAAGATGTTGACAAGTAGGAGTACCCGCTGGGTGGTGTCATGTTCTCCGCTACGCCCAAAAAGGATATGGTACCCTTAAACAACCTGCTACACTCTCAGAGACAACCAGGAATGACAGCAAATGCTTCATACCCAAGTGATTGGTGTCCCTAACTTGATTGGGTGGCGAGTCTGTTTTGAGGGGGAACCACCTGGAACCACTGGTTGCAAACCAAAGGAACACAAGGTATTTTGTGGCGTATGAAACTATACCCACGTAACCTCCAAATAGCGAACGTTTTTCAGGGTATCATGTGAGTCACAATCAAAACCTGGTACAAAAATGGTGAACCCAGAACCATGTAAAGAATTAGAAAGGCGGCCGCAACCATTTCCGGCTGGGACTGCCCCTTACTAACCTTCATCTACCCGGGTTTTGATTGTGGCTCATGTGGTTTTGAACCACACATACCCACCAACAAAATTGTTAACAACAACATGCGGTGAGTTGTTTTTTAGAATCCCATCTTCTCATGCTAAACAGGGATCCGGATGCATGAAAAACACCTGAACATTGCAACTTGTACATGGTGGTTTCCAACTTTATGTTGGTAGGAAAAACAAAAAACATGTTTCAAATGGTTGCAACATGAATTTATTTTAAGGAGCCCTGGCAAATTACCCCCTTTTTGTTGGGGAACAACCGCGGCCCCTGAATTTGATCACGCCAAGAAACAAAAACATAACTTCCATTTGCTTAAGCCCACTGGACCACGTTTAACCATATTCCCTTTGAAACCAACATAACAACAAACTGGAAGAACCCACATTCATGTTCAGCAAAATACACCAACAAATAAAATTGAAGAACAGAACAATAAACCAACAATATAAATATTCATGTTCAGCAACTGGAAGAAAACAACCCCATCACACTGATGTCTGGAGCTTTCGGGGTTGCGACGCAAATCTTGCTGGTGCTCAGTGGATGTAGGAATGAACGGCTTTGGTCCAAAAGGAAACCACCAGTTGGATGGTTTATGTTTGGAATAGTCCCCAGCACCAGCAATCATGAACTTTCTGTGTGATTATGCGTGTATTATGTGTATTTATGCGCGCATTTATGTGCGTATGTGTGTAAGTGCATGTGTGCGTCTCTGCGATCCTACCACCAGTTGGATGGTTTTTATACATTACTTCCCTGAGACCACCAGTTGGATGGTTTATTCGTGGGAAATTTCCAGCACCAGCAAGAATGAACCGATCCGATCGATCCTCAAGGTACGCGTCCAATCGCTTGACGTGGCACTCGTGCAGCAGCCGGTTCGGCCGCTCGTTGTGGCTCTTCTCTGGCCAGTCCCTGGGATCATCTGGGAACTGTTTTGGTTGCTTGCAACTTTGGAAGCTTGCAAGTGGTGCAGCGCTGCAGATGTGAATGTGCACCATGTTTTGTCTGAATGTCAAGGTTTGCCACTTGCTTGCGCCCCCCAACCCATGTCTAAGGTCCTTGATGAAGACTGCTTTAAGAGGAATATTTACTTTGTGTACCAGGCAATGCGTTTCACATGGCAATGTAGGTGACTGAGCGGGAGCGACTGGGCATTGAACGCGATGCGGCCGATGGGCTCTTGGCGCAAAGGTGCCATGCGTTCTTCTTCTGGCCCATCCTGTCGGGCTTACACTTACACTGGTTGGAAACTTGGTTGTAACGTTTTCCCGGTCAAAAGTGAGATTCACTTTTTGGGGGGGGTTAGTTCGGAAACCACCTTGGTTTCAACCAAAAAGTGAAAGTCTAAAGATGCTACCCAATAGCAGTCAAGGAACGTACTCTTCTGACAGCTTCTTAATTGGAGAAAGCCACAGAGAAAACCCACAAGTTGGGTCTGAAACCGAAGGGAAAACCAACAATTTGGGAGGGTCCAACCTGAAACCCCCGAAAGCTCCAGAGACCCACTTCTTCTACCCACAGGCTACTGGGGCTTTCAATGACCCGACCCCTCCATTAGACACTCCGGGAATCGGTGGTTGGGAGTATTGGGGGTCTCAAAACCAGGTTGTTTGAAGGCCCTAAATCAATCGGGAGGCTCTGGGGAGGGTATTTTTGCAAGAACCTGGGTTTCCATGGTAAATACCGATCCCTGTTTTTGCAGAGGGCCGACATCATACCCCGCAAAAAGGCCGGGTACTGGCAGCTTTCTATTGGGTCTGAAACCAAAGAGCAAACCAGAAATTTGGGAGGGTCCAACCAAGACGAGGCATCAACTCTTTTGGGCGAGCCAATCACTCAGCCCACTGCTTGGGCCTGTGGTTTCGCGAACTCCGCAAAACAAAAAAAAACAAAAAAAACAAAAAAAAACATCTCGCGAAGGCAACCATGGGATTGAAGCCATCCCCCGAAATCTCCAGATACCCGTTTTTCCCCCCCCCTTTTTTTTTTTTTTTTTTTTTTTTTTTTTTTGGTTGAAAACCGAAAAAGGCTTTCCATGGTAAACACCAAGCCTTTTTTAGTAGAGGGTCGACATGATACCAACTGAAGCAGGTGAGGTATTTTGGAAAACCGAAACCGCTTTTTTTTTCCCCGAAAATACCAACTGGAACAAAGCGGGTATTTAGAATAGGCGGTTGGTTGGTTTGGTACCTTGGTTGGAATCGAATCAGAAACCGGTTGGTTTCGGATTCCGGTGGTGCGAGAAGCGGATTTCGCAACCATCCACAGTAGCACTTCATTCATGAACCCCGCGGAAGAAACCTTGAAGTTGCCCTCCAGGATCCTGGACAGTTTTCAAATTCCGATTTGTAGTTCACATACAACTCTTGGTCTACGATACCAAGCCCCACCCCCCCAAAACAAACAGCCGTGGCGCCAAACCGGCACCCCAACACTAGCTTCAACTTAAGCCTGACTGCCAATTGCTTTCCCCCTCTCCAAATAGCTGCTTTTGTCAGGGTATGATGTCAACCCTCTAGTAAAAACGGAGGTATTCATCATGGACAACCAGGTTTTCCCAAACATACCCTGAAAAAAGCGGTATTTGGAGTACAGGGTGGCAACCCATGTTACAACCCACTCATATCTCTTCTGGTTCAGTGGGATTTGGGTGGCGTGGTGCCACAAAACCAATCTAGGGGACACTTCCCCATTCTTTCCAGGGATCCTTCTTTCCAGAAAACCATCAGAACCCCAGGGCAAACAGCCGGTTTGTGAAAAGAACGATGCTTGAAAAGAATGGGGAATCAACCCCTAGACAAACCCTTCGACTTTTTTTGGGGGGCAGTTGGAGGGTGCAAAGCGTTTTCTTCTCCACCCCTTCGAATCAACCCATACCGTCTTCGGAGCTTTCCGCGCGGGATTTTTCCAAGGCGCCAGTTCTCGAAGGAGTTATCCAGTGTCAGGTTCTCCGGCCTGAGCTCTAAGATGCTCCCCCCTACTCAGCTTCAGATACCCACCCCCCACCCTTCTGTTTTCATCTGAAACCGAAGGGAAAACCACAAATTTGGGAGGGTCCAACCTTAAACCCCCTACTTGAAATACCTGTTTTTTTTTCTAGTTGGTATTCTTTGAGCAACCTGGAAAGCCTTCTCTTTTTAGTAGAGGGTCGACAGGATACCCTTAAAAAAAACGAAGAGGGTACTTGGAGTATGGGGGTAAGGCTCCAATTCGATGACCATTTTTGTTGGGCCTTCATGGGTTGCTTTCTTTCCGGGCCCCAGGGATTGGTCCGGATTCTTCAAATCGAGGGGGGTCATGAGCCTTAGGGTAGTAGGCAAGCCAAACAAACACTGGGGGATTCCCATAACCTCCAAATACCTACTGTTTTTAGGGTATGTCAACGTTTTTCTAACAAAGGGACGCATGTACCACAAAGGTTGTTCTAAACATATCCTCACATATATTTGTATTTTGAGTAGGCAGTATTGCCAACCAGCCAAGTATGGGTGAAAAAACGCTTTTTGAAAGGTTTCGAGTGTGGTGAGGGTTTGCCATCATACCCAATCATACCCTGAAAAAGTTACGGGGGCACACGGGCACACATACTTCCTACTCCAAATGCTGGCATTTTTGAAATACCGATCGGTTTTGTAGGGTACATACCAATCCGATCCCTTTTTTGATTAAAGGGTTGACAATGGACCCCCCCCCAAAAAAAACAACCTCCTGGAGATTCCAATGCCGAGGAATTCCTAGGCGTTCTGGTTCTCAAGGCGTTTTAGGCGTTTTAGGCGGTTTGCGGTTTGTTGCGGGCGTTTGCCCCTTTTTGGCGGGCGTTTTGCGGCAATGTGCGGGCGTTTCCTGTTTCTAGGCGTTTGCGGTAATTTGCGAGCGGTTGCGTCCAAAACAGGGTCAATGCTGAGAATGACTAGGAATTCCTTGACGTTTGAGTCTCCAGGCTTTAGTTTTTGTGAGACATGGTGACAAAACAAAACATGGTTTGTCAACAAATGCATGCTACTCCAACATCCTACAAAAAAGCGGGATTCAAAACAAAACCTGGTTTTCAGAGGAGAAACCTGGGTTTCAAAAAGCATGCGAAAAAATATGGGGTTTGTACTGTTTTTGTTTTACTGGTTTTGTACGGTTTTTGTACGGGTTTCAGGAAGCAAAACCAGGTTCTTCAACCGAAAACCTGGTTTTCGACGAGTAGCAGCTGCAAAACCTGGTTTTTGCTGCCCACTTTTTGTAGGTTCTTCTACCAGGTGGTGACGAAGGGTGACCAACGGTTTCGTCACCCCCAAAAAAAGAGCCCGAAACGGGGACCTCGGGGAGCGACATTTCGAGGTGACGAATTTCCTCCGGGGCCGCCGCTCGAGCGCGAAGCGCACGGTGCGGGAGGCCCGTCGAGATCCGTTCAAGGAGGGCGGCGCGGTCTGGCGTGGAAAGGGCGGACCGTTGCAGTGGTGCATAAAACGTGCCGTTGAAGGAGTGCAATTAATACTAAGGAAATTGCGTTTCTATCTTTAAAAAAACACGTGCAGTGGAAAGGGCAGATCACTGGGAAAGTGAGAGGCAGTGAGAGAGGCTTCAGCGAACTTCCAGTGACCCAGGAGCCTGGAGCCTCGCCTCCAAAGGCCCACATTTTTTGGAGTCATCGAGGTCGAGGTGGTGGGTTACGGCCTATGAAGACCCCCCGGTTGGTGCCTGAATCAAAATACACACAACCGCTCCGCGCAGAAAATACTGGGGCCAGTCAGAAATCAAAAGGACAAAACAAATCAACAAAAACCGGGAAAAAGGACGGAAAAGAAAAAACAAAAAGGAGGGAGCCACGCAGAATCACCAAAACGAAGCGACGAGGCAAGTGACCGCGAAGAGGAACAGCGCCAAGGAGGCAAAGAAGAGACAACCTACCGTCGGATCACCGGGAATGAGACTCAATGAACCGCCCATCAAGTTCATCTGCCTGGCAAGACGGGCCGCACCTTAGTTTGCTCGAGATAGTACTTGGTATCACTTAAAAGGCAAAGAAGGAAAAAGGGCGGCCAGAAGGTCTGTAAAAACGGGCCGGGAAAACGGATCCGCACCGTGGCGCCTCAGCGCCGGCTCTTCTTGCCCTGGCCTTTGCCTGGGTTCCCGGCGCGGCTCTTAGCCGTCGCCGCCGGGGCCGTGGAGTCGGCGCGGGCGCGTTTCCGCTCCCTCCGCTTCATCTCCCCCCCCGACAGCGGCACCCAAATGGCGGACTTGATCAAATGATGAATCCGCAGCCCCGGCATGCCAGGACGAAAGCGGATATCAATCGACCTCTCTCGTCCCCACGCACCTCCGGCAGGAAAGACTCCCACCAGGGCGTCGTGGGCACGCAAGCACTGGACCAGCTCAGCGAAGATGGCGGTCACCTTACTGCTGTCGGAGATCCCGCGTCGCAACGGTTCCTCGAGGTCCCTCCACAGGAGGTCGGGCAAGGCGGATTTGAGCTTCCAGAATTCCTTCGCCTCGGACTTCGCGATGTCCTCGGCAGCTGCCGCCAGCGCCACCAAACCTGTGCCCCGGATCCTGGAAGTACTCTCGAGGTCCGACACCTTTTCCTCCAATTTGGAGACGCGCTCCTCCATGGACATCGGAGGAGGGGCCGGCATAGCGAGGGGCAAGACAGAGTAGGCCGGGCGCCAGAAATCTAGCAGCGAGAACCGGGCGGGAACATGAAACTGCGAGCAGGCATTTCCCACAAGAAATAAAAAACGGGGGGAGAAAGAAAGAGAAAACGAAAACAACAGAGCAAGCGGAGACACGAAAACCCAGCAGGCACGGGCAAGCCAGCGGAGCGCACGGACGGTAAAGAAACGGACGAGCATCAAAAAAAGGGAAACAGCCCAAAGGCCGACAGAACAGCAAGTGACCGTGGGCCAGGGCGGGCTGGTGCAAGCACCCAGTGGTCTCCTGCGAGCAGGACCACAGCCCCGAAGGGAGCCAGCGCCCCGGCGGGGGCACGAAGCCGGGCGGTCTCCTGCAAGCAGGACCAGCCACGACGGGACAAACGAAGGAAGACCACCAACACTGACAGACCCACGAGAGGAGAAGCAGGCACGCGCCAAGGCCGACGGAAGGGGCGGGCGAAGACCGGGAGAGCAAAGAAGGCGGAGGGGCAAACGAAGCAACGGCCAGCAAGGGGGGAGGCTGGTGCAAGCACCCAACGGTCTCCTGCAAGCAGGACCACTGCCCAAAGGGGAGCCTTCACCCAAGCAAGGAGGAGCACCGTGCCCGAAGCGGTCTCCTGCAAGCAGGACCGGCTCCGAACACGGCAAAGGGGAACGAGGAACGAAATTACCTCGCGCAACGGTTCTCGTGCGTAACGCGGGCGCCAATGGTGCTGTAGACACGACCGCAGCCACGGCAGATGAAGTTGGCCTGTCCCGGACCGCGACACCCCGCCTCATGTTTTTCCCTCACTCCGCTAGTTTGAAAAGAGGCACTACATGACAGGCAAGATTTGTTCTCCCGGGCGGATCCTCGACAGGTAGCCTCGTGATGTACCTGTTGCGTCGGAGAGAACCGGCAAGAACACTTAGGGCACTTCCAAGTCGAGTGCGAGGACGCGGCCTCGCGTGGCCTGCTGGAACAGGAGTCACGATGTCGCAATATGGTTTTATCCGAAGTCCCCTCCGGGTACACCTTGTTGCAGAAGGGGCATGTGCGTGACCCTCGTTCGTCACCGGAACAGAGTTTCTCATGCATGTGTCGGTATTCTCGGGCGTGATGAGCCTGCTTTCGTCTCCCGCTGGGGAATCGCCACTCGAACTGGCGCCCGCATCCCTTCCGGCATGGAATGTGCGGTGGCGGTACGCTAGGAACGTGGCATTGACCTTCGTGTCCGGCGAGCTGTCTGGCGTGGCTGGGCCCGCTGAAGACTTTGCCGCACCTCCAACACCAGTCGACATGCCAAGGCTGCACCGGCGCCGGGCTTCCTACCGGAATAAGCCATCTCGACGATTGACGTGTCTGTTGCCCTTTCGACCCCAAGCCAGCGAGGTAGTCTGCATGATCGTTTCCAGGATCGCCAGAGTGGCCCTTGACTTTTTCGAAAGCAAGTGGTCGTAGTTGGGACACACGCTCAAAGACCTTTTTGGCTTCAGAAGCCAACTTGAGATTGACATGGGGGCGATAAGCACCAGTGATGATACTGTGTGCATAAGTGGAGTCAAAGCGAATGCGGGCAGGCAAGCCAGCATCGCCTGGCGCCTCCTGTTCCAGCCAGAGCAAAGCCTCAAGCATGGCGGTGAGTTCCCCAACGTTGTTGGACGCAATGTCTGCTCCCATCCAACGAGGCTCCCATGACTGCAAGGGGACTGGACCGAAAAGCTCGAACTCTGGCAGTACGGAGCGCACTCCCTCTACCCACACCGCGATCCCCCAGCCTGCATGCGGGCCCTCATCCGACGCGCCAGAACCATCTGTGTTCAGCTCCCATCCCGTTACCGAGCGACCGACAAAGTTGGGCATCTCTGGCGAGGCTGGGAGTGCCCACAGAGTGTCCAGTGCGTCGAGCGAGTGTGGTTTGGTGGGACACACGTGCCGTTTTACGTCGACTTCTGTGACGAAGACGTGCCCACAGAGAGAGCAGCGCGACTTTTCAATCGTGGTGACGTTCTCGTCCTGTACTGCATGGTGGGCCTCGTAGTGGACCTGCAGGCCTCGAGCTGTGATAGTTTTGACGTCACAAACTGGGCAAGGCCATTCCCCGGAAATGTCCTGAGCCAGGTCGACATTGGGCGGCAGACCCTCGAGAGTCTCTTCCGGGATGAAGCGCGCGGCTCCGTGAGGGGGGGCGCATCCTTCCTGCCACAGCAAAGGCTGGCCGGGCTTCCACGCGTTGAGCGCGGCGACCTTGTCATCAAGTCAACCCTTTACCCCCGAAAGCTCCAAATACCCGGCTTTTCTTTTTTCAGTTGGTATCATGTCGACCCTCTACCAAAAAAAGGGATCGGTATTTACCATGGAAAACCGATCAGTTTCCCAAAAAATACCAACTGAAAAAAAGCGGGTATTTGGAGTAGGGGGTAAAAACTAAAGAAGGGATCGGAATTTACCACGAAAAGCCCGGTCTTGCCAGAAATGTGATTCAACAAGAGGGTCTTTGGAGCAAAGGGGACCCCCAATTTCTATTCATGGGATAGTGGTATGCAGGAGCTCTGGGAAGAATGATCCGTTGCCACGTATAGTGAGTAACAATCAGTCCGGACCACCGTTTAAAACATGGGATATTACCAACCACAAGTTCTGGTGTGACTTCCCCTGTTTTCCCCGGCGGTTTGTAGGTCGGCTGACTCGTAACTGGGTTCTGGGCCGCGTTCTTTCAGGAAAGGGCGGATCTGGTACCCTTGAAAGCAATCTTGGCCCCCAGATTGGCGCGCAACACGTCCGTCTTTTCCCCCAGCTGGAAGCGCTTTGGGGCATTTCGAACTGTCAGTCCAGAGCTCGGCGAAGGGGTGATTGGGGCCAGCTTTCAGGGAGGGTTCCAGGGTTCCAGGGCATATTTGCGCTTTCTGACTCTGGTCTAAACTTAGTCTACCCATGGAACATAAGTTTGGAAGAGGACCCAATGGCGTTGAGAAGCCCTCAAACTATCCGACAAAACGGGTTTTGCAGAAATGTCCGGCCCTTGAATTCCATGGCCATGATAGGTCTGAATGAGTGACTTGAGTTTGAGAACTGACCTTGACACGAAAAAAAATCAAACCATTTTTGGGACCAACGACATCACCTGGTGTACCCCCGTAGCCTCCAAATACCTGTTGGTTTTTGGTTGTCATCATTCGTCAACCCCCAAAACAATGAGATTTACCATGGAAAACTGATCGGTTCGTCGAACAATAACACCACCGAACAAAAACACACGGAGCCGAATTGAAACCAAACGGTCGCCGGATCTCTCCCCAAATTTTGGGGGATTCGAATCGTCGCAGTGGTAAACATGTTTTGGTTCGGACCACTTCACCATCCACTCAAGAGATAGGGAATTCACCCCATGCCAATATGCCATGTTTTAGGCCTTTGGGGTGACCAACAAAAAATGGTTGCCACTACACCAAAAGAACCGGCTGGCTAAAAACCAGCAAGATAAACCCAGTGGAACCCATCAGTTTTCAGACGGAAATGTTGGAAAACCCTCAAAATGCGCGTCTTTTTTTGTAAGTACCCCCATTTTTTATCATTATTCTTTGGGGACGCCAAAGAGGAAACCACCATTTTTGGTCTTGGCGCATCCCAAATTGACCCGCGCGCATTTGCGATGCGCCGTGCCTGGCTCGGGAGGTGGCTCCTCGCCGACTGCTTGTCTGAGGAGTTTGTGTTCCGTCCATCACTTAGACGGGATGCGGTCTGAAATACTCACTTGCACTTTTTGGGCCTGGACATCATCCGATTACCCCCTGAGATCCGGTCAATTCGCCTTGGTTGCCTTGCTAGCAAAGCATCCAAACTCCGCAATCAAGTCAGAGCCCGTAAAAAAAACCGTGGGGGTTTATACAACCGCCCATTGTTTACCTGGAAATATCCAAGTTGAATCGAAGGAGAGGGATTGAGTAACAATCAGTCTGCCCCCCTACCCAACTTCCGCCTTCTTCTTGTGTTCTTCAGTCCCAGTTGCGGGGGTGCTCAAGCTAAGGGGCCTCCAGAAAGACGAAAACAAATTCCCGATCCTCCCCTTTGGGGGCTTCCCTTTGGGGATAGACGTCTTGTTTTTAATGCAAAAAATCCGACCGAGGTTTTCTAAATGCCAAGCCCTTTGTCAGGAAAGGGTTGACAAATGTTTTGTTGCTTTTCCCTAAGGTTACGAGGTGGTTGCTATTGAGCGTGTCCCCAGTGAATCGGCATATGGTTGGTGACGTGGGCCCAAGCAAAATTATTAACCATCCAAAAGCGACCACTCCCCCCCCCTTTCAGTGGTGGCTGAAAAGGGGGGGGTAAAAGTTAAAACGCCACCCATTTTGAAGGTCCCCAAACAAAGACACGCCCATTTCTTGGCAACCCCTACGTTTGCGCCGGTTCTGCCGGCCCAAGCGAGCTGGACGGGGGCCCCCAAAACGGCCCGAGAGAAGTGAAGACCCAGGTCCAGTGGCTTGGGAGTTTTTGAAGCCAAAAAGACACCGCCTGTTTTCTGGGCTGCCCGTTCTCAGATCCCCCGCTAAGAAGCGACTAACTTTTAGCGGGTGAAATGGACACTACCACTAAACACTAAGGGGATGGCTGTTAACTGGACTAAAAGCGGGATCGGCACCCCTACTCCAAATACCTGCATGCTTAAGGGTATCATGCCCACCCCTTACTAAATAGGTTGTTCAAACAAATCCAAGTTGAACACGCATGTGTATTTGGAACCTACATGGGTGGATTGCCTCAATCACTGCTTTTGATTTTGGTTGCATGGTTGAAAAAGCAGGGTGCTGGAGTTGGTTTCTTCTTGATCAGAGTGTCCAAATGGACCTGGACTACCGGGCTCGGCCTACAGAAAAACCCATCGGATTGATCCGGTCGATACAATTAAATGGCCCCAGTTGGAAAGCAATTTTCTAAACCAGATTTGACCCATGTAGTTCTAGTCAAACTCCCCAGCTCCACATACCCCCGGCCCTTTTTCAGACGTAAACCCTTTACTACCTGGATCACCAGTTGCCTTTACTTTCCAGCTTCTTTTGTCCCAAATTCTGGGCTGCTAGTGGGCTTCCAGTGGCTGGAAAAAGTGGATTTACTTGGGGATCCAAGTAAAAACGGATGCGGAGAAGCGAGCAAACGAGAGACCGAGTCACTTGCTCAAACCCCGTATTCAAATGGTTGACCCAGAACCATGCTTCAAGTTTTTTCAGAAGGCGCATATCCGCAGCTACTTCTGGCAAAGGGATTGTCCCTTACCTCACTTGCCGAGTGGATGGCCCCAAAAAAGTCCAAACTTTATATTTACCACTAAAATGGTCTTCCCAAAAAGTTTAAAGTTCATGAACTCAGGAAGTGAGCTACTAACCTTCATCTACTCGGGTCTTGATTGCGGCTCACCTGCGGCTTCCGTCGGTCCTGACCCAGTCTGGGTGTGGATCGCCTAGTCCGAATGATCCGCGGCTCAAAGAGGAAAGAAACACCCCATCCGATGGATTCGGCCCACCCGGCCCGGATGACAACTGGAAGCACTGGGGAAATTACATGTATACATGCATCACATACATTACATACATTACATACACACACATACACACACATACACACACACATACTCACACATACTCACACATACTCACACACACATACCTACATACATACATACATACATACATCCATACCATACCATACCATACCATACCATACCATACCATACATACATTACATACATTACATACATTACATACATACATACATACATACATACATACATACATACATTACATTACATTACATTACATTACATTACATTACATTACATTACATTACATTACATTACATTACATTACATTACATACATACATACATACATACATTACATACATTACATTACATACATACATACATACATACATACATACATACATTACATACATACATACATACATACATACATACATACATACATACATACATTACATTACATTACATTACATTACATACATACATACATACATACATACATTACATACATACATACATACATACATACATACATACATACATTACATACATACATACATACATACATACATACATACATACATACATACATACATACATACATACATACATACATACATACATACATACATTACATTACATACATACATACATACATACATACATACATACATACATACATACATACATACATACATACATACATACATTACATACATACATACATTACATACATACATACATACATACATACATACATACATACATACATACATACATACATACATACATACATACATTACATACATACATACATACATACATACATACATACATACATACATACATACATACATACATACATACATACATACATACATACATACATACATACATTACATACATACATACATACATACATACATACATACATACATACATACATACATTACATACATACATACATTACATACATACATAGGTACATACATTACATTCATTCATACATACATACATACACATACATACATTACATACATACATACATACATACATACATACATACATACATACATACCTACATACCTACATACACACATTACATTACATTACATTACATAGAGACATATATACATACAGACATGACAGACATACATACATACATACATACATACATACATACATACATACATACACAGTGCAGTGCCTTACCTTACCTTACCTTCCATTTCATTCCATTACATTGCATTACATACATTACATTACGCTACATTGCATTGCATTAGAGTACATTACATACATACATTACATACATACATTACATACACACATACATTGGATACATTACATACAGATATACATTGGATGCATTACATACATTACATAGACTACATAGATTACATACATTACATTAGATTGCAGTACGCTGCGTTAGGTTACGTTACATTGCATTACATAAATCACATTTTATTTCGTTGCGATGCATTGGTCTCATTGCACTACATACATACATTCCTTTGCGATACATTACCTTACAATACAAAGCATTGCATTATGTCAAGAGACGGCAAGGTGACGTCCCGTGGGACGCTGTGCACCGAACCCTCAAGCTTCAATACCAACCACGTAGAAAGGTGTATACGGACGATGCCGTTATAGCCGAACCCGTGTAAACGTTGTAAGGAAGAAGGAATGATAATCACAGCAGTAGTCCTGACCCTGCGGCGCAAGCGGTTGTTTTGCTCTTTGTGCCAATCACGGAGATCCGCAGTCACACATCGGATCTTGAACCTCAAATGTGTCTTGAGCCAAATGGCGATCAATGGAACTTGGGAAGCAACACCAACAAGGACCTCAGAACTGCTACCCAATTTCGGCACGGGGCCTAGAGGGTTTTAACATCCCCCATTTGGGTCGCATTGTTCATCATGCGGTCCAAACACCACAAAACGTTCCACTGGCCACGGCTTCAACTACGAAATCGTGTCGTGCACTCTTTTACTTGCTATCACTACACCGTTCATTCGCTGTGAAACATGCCGGGTTCGATTGTACGAAAAGTGAAACATTCATCCTCCAATCGAAGCACACATCCATATGCAGGTGTATATAATACACTGTGGCCACTTCACTTGACCGCCAGTGAACATTCCAGCTGCCGCATTTGCGCATCGCGCAGCTGTCATCCATAAATGGGTTGGCCACAAATGTCCACCATGCGCGCCCGCTTGTGATCGGTCTGCATATCTCCGGCAAAGAAACATCGGTGAGTAATCAATGCAAATCATAGCCATTCCAGATACCATGGACAATGCATAAATAATGAAAAGATATCATCTATAAGGTAATAGTTCCATCCATGAATATCCAGAGCGTCATAGTCATCGGAATATGTAACCATGTACACATCCAATCATCTTGGACACATGAATATAAATCATGACATAAGTCGTTCCACCGAAACAGTGTCGATGTGACGCAAGTAACAGATGGGGACTGGCCCACATCGTACCGCAATCATCATCTTCACGAAGCATACCTGTCCCCGATGGACAGCCTATGGGTACGTCGGCGGAACTCCTCGTCCAAGTTCTTCTGGGCTTCTCGTGCCCGGACACACTTCTTGTTGTAGTCCTCTGGCAACCAGTGCCCTTTCCGAAGGCACCAATCCAGCAGGGGTGTGTCGCATTTGTTCGGGTCGACGGCCGAGATGATGGCGCTCACGTTGACCGCGTAACCATGCTTGCCAAGGTTTAGGCCATCCCTCACGAATGATATATACTTACAGTTGAAAGCAAGTGCAAAACATCTGAAAATAATATCACCCACCGGGTGCACTCGGTCCTTGACCAGGAGCTTCATTTCTTCCTTGGTGACATCGAGGATTCTTGCTGCAATCCACAGCTTGTAGAATGTGTATAGTCCCTCGCATTTGTTCACCATCATACGAATATATTCGTCACGCTCCTCAACCGATCGGAAGGCTCTTGTCCGAACATTCTCCGATTGAGAAATCTTCGTTATTGTTGATGGCAAAAGTATACCTTCCTGATCATGCTCAGTGATGTTGGGGTACCTCCTGAAGTCATTGTGGTAAGGGCAGCCATCTCTCCCCTCGAGCTTGGCAATCATCGTTCTATCCTCACCACCTTCAAACATCCCCCACATCTTGGACAGCTGGAGTGCGATAAATCCTGCCATGTACTGAGCCTCACGCGGCTCGTCAAGGCAGATCGCCATCCGTTGGGAACTTATAATGTCCCGTGACGCCAGATCGGTGTCGCGGTAATGCCAACCGCCGTCTTCTTCTTCTGACGCATAGCCGGATGTATATCCTTGCGTGTCCATGTCGTCATCTTCTCCCGGAACTTCCTCCGCTTCGTCCTCATCCTCCTGTGCTGCCGCATCGTGGTTAGCTTCTTCCTGTGCACGCCTGGCATCTCCAGAGACGTTGGGGTTTTGGTTGTCCTCCTCGTCATCGGATTTGATGTGAATGTAGTATCTTCCGATGGAGATCAGTTGTGCCTCGCACTCCAGGCATAAGCAGAAGCAGGTGGGGATCGCGGTCGCACATGATGGACATATCCGGCACCTCAGTCCTTCCCATGTCTCATCATTCAGGATGACGACTTTGCTGACTTCGTCCCGGACCTCGTTGACCTGTGCGTTGAACTCTTCCATCTTGTTGTTTCGATAGAGTTCGCAAGCACGGTTAACCATGTCAACGATGTAGTGTAGATTGTCAGCACCTGTCTCGGTCTCCGGCATCCTCTCGCTGATCTTTGCGACGTTCTGGAGGAACATCGCAGCCGACTCTTGGGAAGAGTTGACAAAGCCAGGGCAGATCTCGTTCTCCACACACTTCGAGTACGCCCTCTTGATGTCAGCGTACTCCAGGCGCTTCCCTCCATTGCTTTTGCCAATCCAAATGGACTTGACCTCATAGAACGGGATCACGTCAAAGACCATAAAAGTCCCATTAGCCGCGACTCCAGCCCCATACCGCGCGAGGGTTGCACTGGGAATATAGATGATCGCAATCGGATCCCCTCTCCTCACGTTCCGTAGCGTTGTCTTCGTCGCCACGTTCATCTCATCCCATGGAGCAAATGCCCCGAAGTGCAGTGCTAGCCTGTTACCGCCATCGATTCCGCCGGGGACTAGCCCACAGCGTACGATGCTTGGCAGGTTTTCCACATACGTCACATGGAATGCTCCTCCGAGAGTATCACCCATTCTTGCGGAATACCTATTCGCCAGTGCGGATGAGCTCATGAATCCAAAATCACTGTGACCGGTTGTGACTCGGATGCACCAAGGTCTGTACCATCCATCGCATCTGTTGAACATCCTGTCGATGTCGTCCCGATCCACGCCAGCCTTGTTCATTTCCTCCCTGGCTGCCCTCGTGTCGTTCGGGTTCATGATGCTCGGAAACCTTGCTGCCAGAACCTGGAATCTCGACTTCTTGCTTCCGGATTCCTGCCACTTGATCACCTCCATGATGCCCATGTATCGTTTCGCTCTCGAGGTGTTAGGTGGGAATATGTCGTTGTTTCGGTCGTCAATGACAGCATCAATGTCGACCCATCCACCCTCGTCGCACCTGAAAGCACTTCCTCGGCAATTGCCGATCTTGTGTCGAAGGACTCTGCATAGGTCGTGAGATAGCTGGTTTGCTTGGTCCCTTGTAGTAAATACCGAGCGATCATCACCAATCCTGCATAGTGGAGCACCGTCGAAAGGAGCAATGCAGAAGTTGACACTCTTGCCAAGTTGCATCACGTCCACTTGCTCAAGGATTGCACCTTTGGGAAAGTACCTGGGGTCAACAATAGACGCGTATGCCCGTGGCATATGCACATCAATCAAGTCGCCGTACTTCGGGATGTAGCACGGGATGGTGTCGCATCCCATCTC